CATGACCCAGGCCAACTGCAGTTCTGCTTGCCTTCCGTGTCCCCGAGTCCCAGCTCTGCTAGACACACAGAAAGCAAGAGGCTTGGACAGGTTGGCAGTGGGCATGGGCATCTGCTTTGGAATGCTTCTCTTTGTCCTCTCCTGTCTGATGTTGACCCCAGCTGGCCACACAGAGCACCTCTCCATCGCTACAGAGATCTGCAGGTATTCTTTTATTTTCACTTTAGCTAGGATGCCTGGAATTTTCCAGAAGACTGGATGCTGGCTGTTACATAGAGAGTCCTTCCTCTGAGTTACCACAGCTGCTGGTGGCTGTCCTGTGGTTTGCATCCGTCCCCAAAGCTCGTGTGTGGGAAGTTCATGCTGCTCCTCTGCATGGAGGTGGTGCAGGCGGTTTAGGCCACCGGGGGCATTGTCCTCAGAAGTCATGTAGTTCTCTCTAGACCCCACATACTTCCTGTGAGGGCAGGTGATAGAAAACCTTGCTCCAGCACATTTCCAGCTTTCTACATAGTCTCTCCCTCCAACATGTTCCTACCATGGTGCTGCCTGCCATGAAGCAATGCAACGGATGTTGCTTACCACAGGCCAAGCAGATGAGGTTAGTTAATCTTGGATCCTCAACCCATTCACCTCATAAAGAACAGAGCCTCAGACTTTGTGTTATAGTAATAGGAAATGAGTTAATACATTAAGTTAATTAAAAAATACCTAATTAAATTAATAAATTAAATAAGCCACCACACAGAGAAAAGGGGGTGAGGGATGGAGAGAGGAGAGACAGAGGCTGACAGAGAAGGGAGACAACACAAAGAACAAGGAGGGAAGAAGAGAGAAGGATGGGAAGAGAGATGGAGAGAGACCTGTTAACGTCACATGAGCGGTGCCCAGTCAAGCCACTATAACCTTCCTCAGGTGTGTGAATTGAAAGTACTTGGTATCCTGCCATCTGTATCCTCAAGGGTCCAAACCGTAAGGACAAGAAAGTGTGTTGGTGAGGATTGGAGGGATGGTGTGTAGCTAGTGCAGTGATGTGATAATGGAGTCCACTGGCGGCTCAGCTGTCTGTTCCCGAGGCGAGGCAAACCACATTGACCGGCTTCCCAGCAGCGTTGTCTACACAGGTTCACAAAGATTAAACATAAGACATTCCTTAAATTAAACATGAGACATTCCTGTCCTCGCTGAAGCAGGAAAATGCTGCTGATCCTGTTGAATCACAAGCAGAAGACGTGGTGTCCACACTGTGCAGGAAGCACAGTAGCCAGCACAGCGGCCGCACGTCTGAACATGACCCCATCCGAAGGGTGGATCTCAATTCCCTCAGCTCCAGGTTCTTTTTCTCAGTTCATCCCATTGGGTGAAGCTGCAGGACTCATCTTCATCCTGGTTGGTGGGCACTGTGCTCAGGAATTTGTGCAAAAGTGCTGGCAGTCTGGCAAAGTTTTCCTCTAATCACTGTGTGAGGTCTCTCTGGGTTACATCTACTCAGTAGGCAAGGCTAACCTGTTAGCCTGCAAACAAGGGGAAACCTCAAGACTATATATCCCCAACCCCCAGGTAAGGAGAAGTAGGTACATGGTGATCAGATAGAAATTATTAATATCACACAGCATGACCCACACGTCAAACAGAGCCAGGTGCAGACTGTTGCCTCTTTTGAATGCTCAGTGAGCTAAGGATCTTGTTGTTTTGAGCCCAATGATGTAGCCAGGTTGGTCTTAAATTGACTGCCTTTCTGCCTTTGGCATCTCTAGTGCTGGGATTATAGGCGTGCAAGGCTTTCCAGTTTAAGAATGCTTTGTGGTTCTGGAGAGTAGTTAAGAGCACTGATTGCTCTTCCAGAGGACCTGGGTCCAATTCCCAGCACCCACATGTCAGTTCACAACTGTCTGTAATTCCAGTTCCAGGGGACCTGACACCCATGGCAAAGGCCAATGCACATAAAATAAAGATTAAAAAAAAATTTTTTTTTGTGGGTCTGAAGAGTGGTTAAGAGCGCTGACTGATCTTGCAGAGGATCTCAGTTTGGCTGCCAGTACCCACATGGTGGCTCACAACTGTTTGTAGCTCCAGTTCCAGGAGATCTAATGTCTTTTTCTGACTTCCTGGGGCACCAAAGGCCTGTGTAGCATATCCATACACACAAGTAAACATTCATACACATAAAAAACAAAATAAGTAAATCTTTAAGAATGTTTTTGTGGGGGCTGGAGAGATAGCTCAGAGGTTAAGAGCACTGACTGCTCTTCCAGAGGTCCTGAGTTCAATTCCCAGCAACCACATGGTGGCTCACAACCATTCGTTATGAGACCTGGTGCCCTCTTTTGGTATGCAGATATATATGGAAGCAGAATGTTGTATACATAATAAAAAAAAATCTTGTGTTTTGTTTGTTTTCCTGCAGTGCTGGCTATGCCCCAGCTTGTTTTTGTTATTGCTGTTGTTATATGAGACAGATTTTTTTTTTTTTTGCGTTTTTTGAGACAGAGTTTCTTTGTGGCTTTGGAGGCTGTCCTGGAATTAGCTCTTGTAGACCAGGCTGGTCTCGAATCACAGAGATCCACCTGCCTCTGCCTCCCTAGTGCTGGGACTAAAGGCATGCACCACCACCGCCCAATGAGACAGGATCTTGCTTTTCAGCCCAGCCTGGCCTTGAACTCTCAGTCCTCCTGCCTCAACTTACCAAATCCTAGAATTACATGAGTTTACCTCTGTGCCCAAACCTAAGAATAGCCTTTATACTTAGAAATGACTGCTATAGGTGATATCACACCTTTAATCCCAGCACTTGAGAGGCAGGTACAGGTGGATCTCTGTGAGTGTGAGGACAGCTTTGTCTACATAGAAAGTTCTAAGCCACTCAGGGTGACACAGTGAAACCTTATCTAAAAAAGGACTTTTATATAGGGACTATATACTAGCCTCACATTCTCACGAAAGCCTAGAGGGTACAGCCCAGGCAGGTCTGCAATGATGGAGACCAGCTGTCTTCCAAAATATCCAAACTGTTCTTCCCAAGTGTCTTAACTGGGGCAATAAATTCTGGTCATGAAAGCGATTCCAGGATGCTGCCGGCTATTCTGGAAGAAACGGTTCAAGTTCAGAAGAGTCTCCTTCAAAGGGGAAATCTCATGGCAGAACGGCTGCAGGAGATCAATAGTGCTGTTTCGAAGATTCTGCTTGAAATAATGCTGGTGGACGCAGAGTTTCCCTTCACAGTTATTCGGGGGCATCTCCACCATCTTACTTTCCTAAAGTATGATTTTCTTGGCATGCACCTCTGCCCTCTCTCGTCCCAGTTGGGACAGAAAAGACCTCTGCATAAGACAGAGGCCAACACACAGTGCCCGAGGATCCTGCTGTGCTGCTGTAGCTAGGAGCCGCCAGCAGAGGCAGGAGAGGAGCAACCTCCCAGTTTCAAGACTGTTACTTCTATGGTTGAACAAAGGTTTTGCTACTCGCTCTATATTTTAGTAGCTATCTGCAGAGACGTTTGGGCTAGGCTTTCTGAGTTCAGACCCCTGCCTTGTCACTTCCTGTGAACACAAATTCCTTGAAGCCATCTGTGCCTCTGTTTTCTTACCTGTAAAATACATGACTTTTTTTTTTTTTTTTCTATCAAAGATGGCTAGCCCAAACTCCCCCAGACGGGAAAATCTTGTATATTCCTGTTTCCCCAACCCTGAGATGACAGACATTTGTCATCCTTGAATCTTTATCACACCCTTGCACATTGCACAGATCATGAATTAGCCGGTGCATCATATTAAGAGTTCTAAGTCCCTTAGCCAGGCATTGGTGGCGCATGCCTTTAATCCCAGTACTCGGGAGGCAGAGGTAGGCGGATCTCTGTGAGTTCGAGGCCAGCCTGGTCTCCAGAGCGAGTGCCAGGATAGGCTCCAAAGCTACACAGAGAAACCCTGTCTCGAAAAACAAAAAACAAACAAACAAAACAAACAACAAAAAAAGAGTTCTAAGTCCCACCAATAGGGCTTTCTTAATCAGATTGTCTGAAGGAACAACTGTCCTTATTCTGTGCCTCACCTTCTAATAGCGAGGTAGCTAATTTTATTTTAGATTTATTTATAAGTGTTTTGCTTGCACGTATGAGCATCACATCTGAGCATACCCACAGAAGTCAGAAGAGGGTATCAGAGGACTCTGACCCCGGGGCTCCCCACCCGCAGATAAAACAGATATCCACAGCCTCAGCAGTTACGTGTCTGCCCTGCTTTCCTTGCTGTGGTAAAATACTCTGACAAGGGCAGCTTAAAGGTAGAAATGGTTTATTTAGCTCACAATTCCATGTTAAAGTTGATCGTTGGGGGCAGCGGAGCTGTCAGAGCAGGAACTGGAAGCAAGTAGTCAAGGGTAGAGAGAAACACATTCGAGCTTACTGATGTCAGCCCCCTCTCTACACTTTCTTGCCTAGGGATTAGTGCCACCCACAGGAGCCGATCATATTTGAATTAATGAAATTTAGACAGTCCCCCACAGACATGCCACAGGCCAGCATGATCTAGACAATTTCTCAACGATACCCTCTCCATGGGTGATTATAGGTCTGTTAAGATGACAGTTAAAATTAACCATCATGCCGCTGGAAAGGAGGCACGGCGGTTAAGAGCACTTAATGCTCTTTCAGAGGGACCTAGGTGCAGTTCCCAGCAGCCACTTGGTAGTTCACAACCATGCAGTTCTGTATGACTGCATCTGCACATGCAGCTGAGTCCCTGGGCTGTTTTGACAATCACGCTTTTCGGTTTGCATTTGCTTTCTATGAGTTAAGAATGAATCGCTGCTTCTACCAGCCACGCATGTTGGTACCGAAAGTCTAAGCACAGCCTGTTGGTGCCACGTCTGGTGGAGCTTGATGCCCCGCCCAACAGAGCCCCGCCCTCCCGGCAGCCCCGCCCACAGGCCCGGCCCATAAACGGCCGGGCTCTCTCGGCCCAGACCCGCCCCCTTCAGCGTAGCTCGCGGAAGCCGCAGTCGACATGGTGCAAGCCTGGTACATGGACGAGTCCGCGGCCGACCCGCGGATGCCCCACCGCGCGCAGCCCGACCGCCCGGTGGGCCTGGAGCAGCTGCGCACGCTCGGAGTGCTGTATTGGAAGGTACGGGTGCGGGTCGAAGCACCGCGCGCCTGCGCACGCTGTGAGAGGCTTGGGGGCGCCGCGCATGCTCAGCATGGCCGCTCCCTCCCTCGCTCTCTCTAAAACGACGGATTTGGGGCCTGCTTTCTTCGTGGCACGCATCGGCTCTCACAGCTAATGTTTGCAAACGCAATGCCACTTGTCAGTCACGTGGTAGTGTCACGGGTAACGCAGTTCCAACACTGTGGGGCTGGTGGAGGGGTGATTGGCTCTAGCATATCTTCATTGGTATGGTCAAAGTGAAATGCAAACCAGCTAGCTGGCTTAGAGTCACCCCTGAGGAACTTTACAGTCATATCCCTAAAAACCATAGAGGCTTGGGGCAGGAGAGATGGCTCAGCGGTTAAGAGCACCGGCTGCACTTCCAGAGGTCCTGAGTTCAATTCCCAGCAACCACATGGTGGCCTATAACTGTCTGTAATGGGATCTGATGCCCTCTTCGGGCATGCAGACATACATGTAGATAGAGCACTCATACCCAAAACAAACACCTCACCATGTGGTGGTGGTGAGCCCACAACTGAAGTGAGGGCCTTGGATGCCAGGGACCAAGTAGGGTGGCCACGTGAAGTGGGGACTATGCTCAAATCCATCTCTGCTAGGATATTTTTGGCATAGGAATCAGGGTGAAAGGTGATTGGAGAAGAATCCGGTGTGCACATGGGCAATCATGGCTCTGCATGGGACGCATGCCCAGAAAATGATGTGGTTGATGTACTCTGGGCCTCTTGAATCAAAAGGTCACTCGTTGGACACCAGCTCAGGCATGGGGGATGGTTTCAAAAAACACAGGCTTCCGGTTTCTGAGAAGTAATCTAGGCATCCGTGATGACACCTACCCACTCACCTGATGACCTCTAAAATTAGTGACTTTTAGTTAACTGAAGTCATGTCACATAAGTCAAGCTGTGGCTCCGGGGTGGGAGGTTTGCTCAGAGGCCCCTGGCATTCCTGTCAAGTGGAGGAGTTAGTCTTCCCTCCATTGCAGAAGTTGCTAGGGAAAGTGGGCACAGAACAAGGCGATACAAAGGCCCCTCATGACCACACAGTGGGAGTGAGGGCTTTTGTTTGGAATAGTGTCTTAGTCCCTTCTGGCAGTCCTCATGCATTAGACTAGGAGGCAAACTCAAGACTTCCTGCATACCCCATATAATCTGTAAACAGCAGATTGTTTGCATAATTGAAACTGGAATCCCACCAGGTGTCTTTGGTTACTGGTGAACGCCCACTAAGAACTGCTCACAGAAGGCTTAAACAGCTCCCTTTGCAGAGCTGTAGGGCCACTCACCTCATTCAGGAGCAATCACAACCCCACTGTGAAAAGTCGTGTGCCACCACTGCCTGGCTGGCTCAAAAATCTGTAACTCTAGTTTCAGAGGAGTTCTGTTCTCTTCTGGCCCCGTGGACACTAGGCCCAAGAGTGGTCATTGGTGTGCTGTTCTGATGATGATAAAATGTGCACTTTGCAAAACAAAAACTAAGCATCACTAAGTTCATTGCTAGAGCTTCATATAGGATTTTAGATTAGTTCTTTCAGGAGCCTTTGAAAGCATGTCAGGAAGAGGCTTCCATCCTTGACTTTGGACTTTAAGAATAGGTAGGATTGTGATACATGAAAATTGTGAGCAGGAATTTGAGGTATGGGACCTTGCCATGAAAAGGTGTGAGTATGTATTTTCTTTTTTTGAGATAGATTTTTGCTGTGTAGCTTAGGTAGCCCCTAAGTCACAACTCTCCTGCATCCTCAGTAGCTGGAATTACAATCATGGGCCACCACAAACACTTCCAGTAATTTTTTTTTAATTAATCTTTTCTTTTCCTTCCTTCCTTCCTTCCTTCCTTCCTTCCTTCCTTCCTTCCTTCCTTCTCTTGTCTTTTGTTTTTCGAGGCAGGGTTTCTCTGTGTAGCTTTGGAGCCTATCCTGGCACTCGCTCTGGAGACCAGGCTGGTCTGGAACTCACAGAGATCCACCTGCCTCTGCCTCTCAAGTGCTGGGATTCTTTTACTTTTATTGTATGTGTATTGGTGTTTTGCCTGCTGGTAAGTCTGTGTGAGAGTGTCAGATCCTGGAGTTACAGTCAGTTGCTAGCTGCCATGTGGGTGCTGGGATTTGAACCCTGGTCTTTTGGGAAAACAGTCAGTGCCCTTAACTGCTGAGCCATCTTTCCAGCCCCAATATTTCAGTAATTCTTAAGAGTGGCAAGTGGTTCTATCTCAGCTTAGAGTCTAGATTTTTTTTTTTTTTTTTAAACAGTGGAGGGATGGAGCAGATAGAAGTAGAAAAGTCAAGTGGGGCCAAAGGACAGCAGCTCTCCCAGTCCATCTTGGTGAACTTGGGCTTGGTTTGTGGGCATAGGAATCACGCTAACCACACAGAGCCTAGTAAGACTGCATGGAAGATGGCAGAGTGGTCACACACATCGAGGGTATGAGGGATAAGAACTTCACCTGGAAATTCGGAGGACCCAGCAGGACTGCTGGCAGAGGAGAGCAAACTCAGGCAGAGCTGGGGTTTCTACCTGGCACTGTAGAAAATGGACGGTCTATCAAAAGGGGAGGAGGAGGGCTGGGCTAGGACTGGCAAAGAATAAAAGATTCCCTGTTAGGTGATCTAGTTGCAGGTACTTCTGGAAGGTGTGTGTTGCTATGCTTCCTTCATACAGGGCTGCGGAGCAAACCCAGGACCTTGTGCCCTACTAGGCAAGCATTGTACCAGAGAGCTAAACTCTCAGTTCACTTGCTACACATCCTTGTGCTAAGGTGGCCTGTTTTGCTTGCACTTATGTATGTAGCTGGATGCTGACAAGTATGAGAATGATCCAGAACTGGAAAAGATCCGGAAAGAGAGAAACTACTCCTGGATGGACATCATTACCATATGCAAAGATAGACTTCCCAATTATGAGGAGAAGGTGAGCAGGCCCTGCCTGGGGAGAGTCACTACCTTCCTTCCTGTTAACACAAGACTTTCCATTTAGTGTGGTTTGGGGGCAGGGTGATGCTTTCCTTGTGGAGTGAGCCAAGACTGATGTCTTGAATTTAATCCCCAGAACCCAAATGGTAGAAGGAGCTAAATGAGACAGGGTCTCGTGTAGCCTAGGCTGGCCTCAAACTTGCTAAGTAGCTGAGATGACCTTGAATTTCTGATCCTCCCGTCTGTCTTCACCTTCCAAGTGCTGTGTTGCTTGAGGCCCATCTCCTAGACACCCGGCCAGTCATAGCTCTCTCAGAGAGATCCAGTGGAGCCTGTGGCCAGGAAGCCTTTCCCTTCCAGCTATTTTGAGGGATGTGACTATGGTGGTCATTTATCCCTTATATGTGGTGGATCCACCAGTGATTCCGCGATCAGCTTGGGTTTTTCTCCATGGGATTCACAGCTCTGGACCTGGCTCTTCCCTGACTTGAATGTTTTCCTGGGAGTGGTGTGGTGTCTTCAGGGCACCTGACCACTTTTCCGGTGCCATTTGAGTTTGGTGGCAGAGTCATTCAGAATGTCCTCACAGAGCAGAGCATTAATGGCAGCCACTTGGAAGGTGAAGACAGACAGGGGGATCAGAAGTTCAAGGTCATCTCAGCTACTTAGCAAGTTTGAGGCCAGCCTAGGCTACACGAGACCCTGTCTCATTTGGCTCCTTCTACCATTTGGGTTCTGGGGATTAAATTCAAGACATCAGTCTTGGTGGCAGGTGCCTTTACCAACAGTGCCATCTCCCTGGCTCAGCTCCTGGTACTTTTAGTGGCATGTAGCATTCACTGCAGTCTGGCTGTAAGACTGCATGACAGCTTCTCTCTTGCACTAGATCAAGATGTTCTTCGAGGAGCATCTGCACCTGGATGAGGAGATCCGCTACATCCTGGAGGGCAGTGGGTACTTCGATGTCAGGGACAAGGAGGACAAGTGGATCCGGATTTCCATGGAGAAGGGGGACATGATCACGCTTCCTGCTGGCATCTATCACCGTTTCACGCTGGACGAGAAGGTGAGAGTGTGCTGTGCTCTGTGGTCTGGCCTGTGCATAGACATCACAGGTGACCATGGTGACTTGTTAGCTGTGTTGCTTGAGGCCCATCTCCTAGACACCCAGCCAGTCACAGCTCCAGTGGAGCCTGTGGCCAGGGAGCCTTCGTGGGAAGGATCAGAATCTCCCTTTTCTTCTTGGGCACAGTGTTAATCACAAGGCTTTAGTGAAGGGAGCAGATATCTTCAGGAGAGAGACTCACTCCTCTGCTGAGTGGGAAGCCTGCACTTGTCACTGATGTAGGGGCTTGTGGTTATAATGCACCTGTAGGGTGGCGGCATTCTCATTTGGGGACCTCAGCAGTTGTGCATGCAGTACAGTTATTAGGTATAGACAGAAGTTTCTGTCCAGCCTGGTCCTTTAGCCGTTCAATTATAAACTGTTTGTCCTATTGCTCAGACTTAACTCTTCCAACTTAAATTAATGCATAATTCTTAGTTATGTTTAACCACGTGGCTTGGTACCTTTTCTCAGTAAGACATTCTCAACTTGCTTCCTCTGCATCTGGCTGGTGACTCCATCTCTGCCTTCCCTCTTCCCAGAATCCTTCTAGTCTAGTGGCCCCATCTATACTCCCTGCCTGGCTACTGGCCAATCAGCATTTTATTAAACCATTATGAGTGACAAATCTTTACAGTGAACAAGAACTTTATCCCTCGTCAATTAGGACTGGAAGTAAGCACTGGAATTAGTTTTTAGGGTTTTAGAAGACATTTTGGGTTAAACCTGATATTTAAGTATATTTTTGGTTTTGAAGACAGGGTCTCTTGTATTCCAGGCTGGTCTTGAATTCATTATATAGTTGAGAATAACCTCAAAATTCTGATCTTCCTGTCTCCACCTCCCCAGTACTGTGATTACGGGTGTTTGCCACCAAACCTAGTTTCTGTGGTGTTGTGGATGGAACCAAGGGGCTTTGTGCTGGACTGACTAACAACTGAGCTACATCCCCAGCCCAAGTTAACTAAAAAATACTTTTTTTTTTAAAAAAAAATTTGAATTAGAAACAAGATTGTTTTACATGTCAATCCCAGTTCCCTCTCCCTCCCCTCTTCTCCTACAACCCCCCCCCCCAACTAAAGCCCTACGTATCACATATCTTTTCTGCTTCCCTTGGAGGGTGAGGCCTTCCATAGGGTGTCATCAGAGTCAATTGTGTCCTTTGGGGTAGGGCCTAGGCCCACCCCCATGTAAAAAATACTTTATTTTTGAATTATGTTTATGTCTGTTGGGGTAAGTGCTCATGAGTGCAGGTTCCTACAGAATCCAGGAGAGGGCGTTGGGTCTTCTGGAACTGGAGTTGAGATTGTGGGCCACCTGACATGGGTGTTGGGAACTGAACTTGGACTCCCACCAATAGCATCTGCACTCTTAACTACTGAGCCATCTCTCTAGCCCTTCCAAATTAATAGGAAATGCACATAGTTTAAAATTCAGAATTATGAAGCCAGGTATGATGGCATAAGCTTGTCACCTCAGCATTTGGGAGGTTCAGGCAGGAGGATGAGGGCCTCAAGTTCTTTCTCAGCTACATATCAGGTTTTGAGGATAGACTGGGTAAGGCGAGACCCTGTAAAACAGAACAAGATAAAAATTAAGAGATAGATACAAGGCGTTCAGGAACATTGTTCTCTTCCCTGTTCCTCAGGGCCCCAGTTCAATCCCTGAAGGGCACTAATGGCTGCATTTCCACAGTTCCTTTAGATCAGTGGTTCTCAACTTCCCTAGTGCTACCACCCTTTAAAAAGAGTCCCTCATGCTGTGGTGACCCCCAACCATAAAATGATTTCATTGCTGCATCATAACTGTAATTTTGCTACTGTTATGAATCTTCATGTAAATATTTAATATGCAAGATATCTGATGTATGACCCCAAAGGGGCCTTGAGCCACATGTTGAGAACCACTGTGTTAAAGGGTGTTTGAATATTCAGAGTCACCATCTTTCTTTCCTCCTTTTACCCTGGAAGCAGCCAGCTCTGCAGTTCACTCTTCTGGGGTGTGTAAAGAGCCCCATGTCTTGCTCATAGGTGCACTGTAAGACATGCACTGTGATTTACCCACTGTGTGGGGAGTCCCTAGTGATGAGCTTATTTTCACTTTGTGGCTGTCAGTAGTTCTGTAAGTAACATGCATTTGTCAGTTTTCCCTGGGTATGTTTAATTTGTAGAATGAAGGCAAGGGCTGCATGAAACCTGCATTTCTGGTTTAGACAAGTGCTGACAAATTATTCTCTTACCAGCCAGCAGCAGGGGTCTGGTCTGGTGCTGGTCCTTAGGAGGGTAGTGCCCAGGTGGGGAAGCAAGGAGGGTGGGTGGAGTCCAGACTTGTTTCTGCTCAGGTGTGGACCTGGAGGAGGAGCTGCAGATGCTTAGATGCTGCTTGGAAATGGCCTCTCCCTTGCACAGAGGTCTGAAGGAGCTGAGTGTTAAGTGGGTGAGACAGCTTTGAGGGCTGCCTTGATGGTTCTCACATAGATGAGTAGCAGTGTTCAGTGAGATATGGGGCCTGTTTTCCAGAATTACGTGAAGGCCATGCGGCTGTTTGTGGGAGAGCCTGTGTGGACACCGTACAACCGTCCAGCTGACCATTTTGATGCCCGGGTTCAGTACATGAAGTTTTTGGAAGGAAGAGCATAGCGGTGCACTTTGAAGAGTACTGCACTGTGTGAGGCTCTCGCTGCAGTTACTGGTGGGAAGGTTGCTCACCTCTCTGCTTTTGTATGTGGACTTGACGCTAGACCAGCTCTTCTTGGCAAGACTGGAAAATCAGAATCTTTTTAATCAAAAGCATCTATAAAAGTGATTCTTACTTGGAAGCCACAAAAATGTGAATAAGTGATCTTAATTTTCCTGAACTCTGTCAAGACATAGAGAGGTATGGAAGCCCTGGTTTGGTGTGTGTGCATTGGTGCATAACAGATCTTCATGTCCCAGAAGGTTCTTCTGTAGCTGTCTTTGGATTGTGAAGCTATGCCCTTTGGAAGGGGGCAGTTACACCCAGCACAACTGACCAGAAGGAAGATGTTTTTCTTGCTCACTAATCTTTGGGAGGGGAAGTGGGGTTGTTAGTTCCTTTTCCTTCATATTAAAGCAGCTATCTTAATCGTATGCTCCAGGTAAGCTGTGTTGCACTCATGCGAATGTATGGTGTTTTACTTGGTTCATTAAAGCCCTCTTCTGGATTCCTTATATGATTTTATATGTGCATAGTTAATTTTTACATCAGCATAGAAATTTTCCAGTGTGATTTCAGTCCTTTTACAACCAAGAGTCAAAAGAAGTAATGTATGATTTTCCTCCTCAAGTGCCTTATGTACTTAGAACACTAACCAAGCATGTGCAAGGCCCCGGGTGTGGGCCCTAGCACCACAAATAAAGAATAATAATGCTGAACTATGTTTGTGTGTAGTGTGTCACAATTACAGAAAGCCCCACAGTCCGTGCTGCAGAAGGGCAGGCTGTTCTCCAAGTGATAGCTCTCAGTGTGAGGTTTCCTTTGTTACCGTGTTGGATTTTGGATTTGGGTGCTTGCTTCTGCCATACAGGGGAGCCTGAGTCATGGGTGGGTGACCAAAGCTTCAGAACTCAAATGTGTACAAGCAGCACATCCTGGGCTCTCCCCATCTAGAGCTACTGTCTGTAAGTAAGGACTGATCTGCTAGTTTTTGTCTACCGGTTATTGTTGTTTGTTCTTTTTAAGACTATTACTCTGTAGCAGTGGCTGGCTTGGAAGTGGATATGTAGACCAGGCTGGCCTCAAACTCACTGAGATCCTCTTGCCTGCTTTCTGGGTGCCTGTGTTCCTTCATGGCTTTTGTTTCAGTTCTTTCCCCCAGATTTCTGCTCTGACTTCCCTTCATGATAGACTGCAACCTGGGAAATGAAATAAACCCTTTCCTCCCCCTTTTGGGGGAGGTGTTTATCACAGCAATAGAAAACTAAGTCACGCAGGCTTCCCTTTGCGTGTGCTGTTTATGCTAGATGAATGTCCACAGGCCAGTATGAATGCTGGCCTGCCTGAACATCCTATAACTTGAACACCCAACTACACGTACCAAGGATGATGTATGGCACATGAAGGTTTTGGCATTGACTCTGCTTGAACCAGACCTAGGTGAGCTCCAGACTCTGTGTTCCCTCCTGGTGAGCTTCCTAAGGGTGGGCTCTATATAAATGTCCTTGGGAAGGCTGGTCACATGCTGGCCTGTTACGTCTCACCAGTGTGGTTGGACAGGGCTTCATGGAGGTGTTGCTATTCAGATGGGCCCAAGACCCACAGGCATTAACAGTCTAGGAGGAGACAAGCAAGAAAGGGGGCTTGTTCCTGAAGGAGTGTGGCAGTTATTAGTGTGGCATGGTGGTGAGTGATTAGAACAATGGCTGTTAAAAAAACTGGTGTAGTGAGCCCTTAAAAAGAGCCTGTTACTCCTGATTTCAGAGTGATGACAGGCTGGGTTGCCAGGGAAGCTGGGTTCCCTGTGTGAGGGATCAGAAGTGTGAAGTGTGTACCAGCATCTGCCCTGGTTTAGTCAGAGAACTTGTGCTGAGCCTGAACGTGTGCCAGATGCTGTAGAGATGGGGAGGGCAGGCGGAAAGAACTTGGAATCTGCCCATTTGTGGGTCAGCTGTGTGGTAGCTCCCCCATGTGCAAATCTAGTTTGCTGTGTCATAGCTCTGACATACGCTCAAACTCATCTGGAGTGGCCCAATTTTGGGCCATGATCCCAGGACTGCAAGAACAGTCATCCTTCTATCTTCTCTAGCCCTTGCCTCTAAAGGGAGGATGAATAGGAATGGCCCCCAGAGGCTTTGAATGCTTGGTCACCAGGGAGTGGCACTACTTAGGAAGGATTAGGAGGTGTGGCCTTTTGAAGTAGGTGTGGCCCTGGAGGAAGTGTGTCACTTGGGGTGGGCTTTGAGGTTTCAAAAGCCCAAGCAAGGCCCAGTAGTTTTTTGTTCCTGTAGAACTCTTGATTATTTCTCCAGCACCATGTCTGCTTGCATGCTGCCATGCTTCCTGCCACCATGATGAACTAAGCCTCTGAAACTGTAAGCCACCCCCAATTAAGTGTTTTCTTTTAAAAGAGTTGCCGTGGTCATGATGTTTCTTCACAGCAACAGAACACTAAGATAGCGGGGCATGCAGCCTTGGGGAGAATTCAGCCAATCTTAGATGTGAGACCAGAACTCAAGATGCTGTTTCTGTTGCCAGAACATCTATCTGGTAGTTCCTGGCATGCCATCTGATGTGGTGCCTGAGGTGAGCAGGGTGTTTGCCCCATGGCCAGAGCTGGGGACCCTTGTGACTTTGCTTCCACATCCTGGCTGGATACAGGCAAGATGTTCTGCCTCAGCCCCTAGGTCCTGGTTTCTGGTCATAGAGACTGTGATCACATGTCTTGTCCTTGGTGGCAGTGAATGTGCACTTGGCCCTACCTCTTCCCTATGCCGTATTCCTAGTTCCACCCTTAAGAACGTGCAGAACAAGAGATCAGATGAGATGGCTCAGGGTTAAGACTGCTCGATGCTCCTGCGGTCCCCAGAACCTGTGCCCGGGGCTCACAACCACATGGAACTCCAGCCGTAGGGGATCTGATGTCGCCTTTCTGGCTTCTGAGTGCAGTTGAGGTGTGCCCCCCTGGAGGAAACTCATGACTGACACTTGTGGCTGGCCAGGTCACAGGCCACTGCTCTGATTTTGTGAAAGCAGATGTGCTGTGCCTGTTTAACTATCCTCTGAAACATCTGTCTTTACTTCAAAGATGACAGAGGAGGCCCAGCCAGTCAACTCCTGAGAGTGACTGTTGCTAAGGCACAGCGGGACAGTGTTTAGTCACAAACCAACATGTACATGACACCTTTAAGTCTCAAGAAATGCCATGAAAGGGGAGGGAGGTTGGGAAAATGTAAGCTGGGAATGGGTGGAGTGCTGTGTAGCTATTTCCTCTGAACTGAACTTTTGCCTCCTGGAGGAACACAACTTCCTATGTTCATAGGCCCCTCCTCAAGGTTACACAGTGGGAATAGCATCTGGGGAGAGGAGGCTGGCCAGCTGAGCTGCCTCTAAGGTCTGCAGGACTCAAAGACACAGCTTTTGAGAGGCACCACCAAGATAGGGTATCAGGACGTCCTTTTCAGTACCTCTGGGTGTCTATGCTACTGTGCCCCCCCCAATGCCCCAAATTCACTGTTTTTCTAAGTTAGTCTTGGGTAAGATAGTCTAGTTTATCATCTGTGTCACTTGAGGTATTTACCCATGTCTCCCCAGGAAGTCACACAAGAGATTATCATTTCATTTTATTCCAACAGTGAACAGACATGTAGCTTTGCTTTGTCCCACAGACATTTTGTTGATGGAGCAGGGGTGGAAGCCAGGCCCTCAGCACACAAGGGCTGTGCTCTACCGCATCCTGATGTTGTGTGTCAGCTGCGGTCAGCCTTTAGATGCCATGCCTGTCCTAAGACGCTTCTTGTCCCAGCTGTGGGTGTGCTGATGGCTCTCAACCCCTCCCAGGCCATCCAGGGCAGCCTGTCAGGCCAGGAGTGAGCTGAAAACCAGAGAGGTGCTTTGTTTGGGATATGGTGGAGGGAAGACAGTCAACTGCAGTCATTTAGGCCTATACTGAGAACAGGCAATACTATACACCTGCTGCTTCTCTGTGAGTATTCAGAAGTGATAAACTAGCAGGTTAACGTCCAGGAACAAACCAAAGGGACCCAAAGTGTCCTGCCTCTGCATGCCATCCACACAGCCCTTCACCAACAGGCAGTGCTGTGGGGACTGCATGGCAGGCAGGGCAGCGGGTCTGAGAGTGGCCCCAGCTCAAGGCATGCTCCTATACGCCTGTCAAACGCGTTTCCTGATCCCCCTGCTCAAGTGTCTGCAGGGTGCAGATACCTGGCGGGAACTAGGCCAGCTTGAGGCACTGTGTGTTGAAGCTGTCCCCTTCTTTGCTGGCGACAGCCTCGAGCAGGCCCTGCTTCTTCTGCATGCTCCTTGAGGACTCCAGCTCATACATGGTGGTCAGGTTGAAGAGCACGCTCTCATGCAGGTAGTGCCTGGGGTCCTGCTGCACCATGGCCTCCAGCTGCCGCAGGGAGTCCTTGAGCTTGCCCAGGTAAAGCAGACACACAGCGGCGTTGTTGTTGGCCTGGGGGAAAGGACATGTGCTTAGGGTGGCACTGCCTGCTCTTGGTGGTCCCTGGTCCCCGTGTCTCACCAGCCCCTTTATGGATGTCTCTAGCTATTGGAGGCCAGGCCAGGCTAGAGTAGGAAATCTGGGTTTGCTGGTCTACAAAAGGTAGAGGGGCCTGCTGGGGTACCAAGTCTGCATGTCTTACCACTGCGTTTGTGGGGTCCATCCTCAAAATCTCTGTGAAGAACTTGTGAGCGTCTGCAAAGTTATTCTGGCCAAGGTACAGAAAGGCTCTGCAATGCATACACAGGTAAAGCAGTGAGCACAGGAAAGATAAGAGTTCTCTCCGTCCAGGGCCAGTGTCACATGCACCATGGGGATTAGGGGCACACATGCCAGAGTGAGCTGTGTTCTCTCAGATGGCGGCAGTGGCTTTACGGCCTACCCAAACACCAGGCTTGCTAACAAGTCAGCTGTCCAGGTTCCAGACCCCAAAGCTCCAACCAAGGTGACTTCCTGCCTTATAGACTGACCCCTGTTCCCTTCCTGGACTGGTTAGAGGGGGAGCAGGCCTGTCCTGATGACCATACACGTGACTCATGAAAGCTAATCCTGAAACCAGTGCTGGCAGGAGCCCAATGGTGGGCGTACCACACCTGTGTAAGTCTACACTGAGAACAGGCGTACTCTGAAGAGCAGGGATCCCTGCAGACTGGTTCTTAGGAGTAAGGATCAGGGCTGTAGTTCTAGAAGGCCAACAGGCTGGCTACCTGGCCTGAGGCTCCTGGGTCTCGGCACTGAGGACTGGGACAGATGGGAGAAAGACACACCTCAAACTGTGGGCCAGTGAGATGACATGGCAGGTTAGATCACCAGCTGTCCTTTGAACCCTAGTTCAGTCCCAGAGCTCACATGCATCAGAGCCAACTCTCCACAGTGGTCCTTCCAGCTCAGCATGCATATGTACATACATGCACACACACTAAGTAGATCTCAGCATGCATGTGTACATGCATGCATACACACTAAGTAGATCATTGGAAGATATTTACCTGTTCATTAAGACCATTATTTTACCCTGCAGTCCATCCAACTTCTTCGTTACTTTCTCAACGTCTTGAAAATATTTTTCGGCTGTTTTTATGTCTCCAATCTGCTTTGACAAAGTTATCCAGTCAGTTTAGCTGACGGGTTAAAAGAGGTATGTAAAGTCACACTTGTTCCACTGTATCATGTTGCAATAGGAAGTCCCCTGTGTGTCATGCAGGGGACCCCAGAGCACATCCAGTGAGCAGGAGACTTTTAAGTCAGTCTCAGGTAGTGTCCAGTAATGAAGCAAAGCAACCCCAAGTATCTGGTGCTTCCTGTCTCCATCAGAGAATTACGTTAATGTGAACAAACACCTGGCTCAAGTCTTACAAATTAACAGCTGTGCCCCAAGAACAAATTCTGGCACAGCATTAAGTAAAAACAAACTTTGGTAATGACCCAAGATGCCCATGTCAATTTCTGGGGTATTTCTGCCTAGTGACAGAGTAGATACCACCAATTTGCCAATTTCACAGTAATATTTTAACCATATAAGACAATATTATAATATTTGATAATTACAATAATATTTGATAATAATATTATAAAAATAAAGGAGCAAACCCACTCATGCCTTGTGAGGAAGCCATCAGCCCCTCAAACAAAGCAGGGCCCCTATGATAAGCACCAGAAGCTCTGGCCCTTCTGCTTACAACTCAGCCCTGGCTCTCCATTGGTGATGGGGTAGAGGGTGTCAGGGTACAGAGCTGAGTTGTACATGTCCTCCTTTTGCCAAAAGAGTGTGAAGGGAAACCAACACTCAACTTAGAGAAGTGGAAGAAAATAAAGGACTCTGTTCCACAGTAACTTTACACACACGGGTAAGGGACAGACAACACGTCTCATGTGTTCACGGCCTGCCTGGAGGACACTCCCAAAGTCCCACAGGATACTATCTTTTGACCACATTGTACCTTATTATAATGAACACCCTGTTTGCCTCCTAATACCTGGAGGATCCCTGAGCAACTGAGCTGTGTGAGTTCTCCATTCTGGTGATGTCTAGCTTATGTATTAGGAAGCTAGTTTGGGTTGTCTTGGCCTGGTGGATGTTCCCTTTGACAGCACCTTGTCAGTGTCTGGGAACACACTTGGGGTGACTTCTGTCTTACATTGTATGTGGGAGTCAGTGTTTTGGGGAGCAGATCATCAGCTACCTACCTGCAGGCCTGTTTTTGGAACCAGAGTGAGGCCAAGTCTCTGCAGAATGGCATTGGGTAGGGCAGTTTGGGGGAGAGAGCGCCTGAGGTTCTACCCTGGTGGAGCACTGCTTTGCCCCACAGGAGGGGGTAACAGGCAGTTAGTGACCACTGTATCCACAGTGGCCCTAGGCCTGAGGAGGGGAGGGGGAAGTAGAAGGAGCCTTCTCTAGCTTGGGCTCATCTCACCTGCTGAGCTGGGGATGAGGGGGCAGCCCTGGTTGAATCACTTTAGCCTTCTCATTGGTGTTCTTGAATAGACATCGCCTCATTTGCTATTTGTCCTTATAATCATTTTTAGCCACTCAACGGCTCAAAAAATAAACAAGGAAAGGTTTTGCATTTCCTGGGGAGGGGTTGACAGTTTTCCAAGCTGGAGACCATTCCTTTCTAAGCAGTTTTTTTGAGGTCTGACTGCTGGTTAATGAACTTTGTGTTGTCTAGAACACATCAGAATGTACAGCCACTATCCGTCAGGCATCCTTGGATCACTGTGTACCACTGTTCCCCACGTGCTCCTTCTCATAGTTGCACTTCCAAATGGCCATCCTCATCTGCTATGCTGCCAACCTCCCTGACATGTCGAGGCCTCTCCTGCTCCTCCCCGCTGTGTTCCAGCATTCACTCCCTGGATCGCTGCAGTCCCCTATGGTCAGGCACCTTCCTGGCTCTCCAGCGATCTCTTGACAGTCATCGGTCTTCTGCTTTGAAGTCACACAATCATGGGTATCTTCTTGTCCTGTCTTGGAAAGCAGCGCTTCGGCTTCCATTGGCTACTACACTTCTATGGAGGTTCAAAGCTATCCTGCTGGTATGAGTGATGACCTCCTAAGACCCATGTGAAAAGATCTGGAGGGGCAGAGTTGTGAGCCAGGGAGAAGTAACTTCAAAGGACAAATGCTCCAGATGTCCAGAGAAGGGATCACTCTGTTCTGCCTTTAGACTGTCGGAGGAGCTCCCGGATACAGGTGTCTCCAGCCTTCAGTGAAAGGGCTTCCTCAGTGTAGAATCCCTCTCATGTTTAATCCCCTCCCCCTAGACACTGTCCACCTGCTTTCTGAGCAGAAGGCACACATGGTCTGTAGGACTCTGTGTGACAGTGACAGCCTGAGAGATTCAAATATGCAGATGCCACCTGGCCTCTCTGAAGGCTGGCAGGGAATATGGGCAGGAGGCAGTCAACGCCTGTGGGAACAGGCAAAGGCGTTAAAGAGTTCCCTCACATCTGGGACCTGACTCAGAAACAAGCCCTTTATTGTGCTGCACGCCTGAGCTGGGTTTCCAGCTGTTACATGAATGGCACACAGTCTACAGAGGTGACTGACCCTGTGCTCACAGCCAGACTTGCTCTGTGCCCATCTCAGAATGGATGAAGACTGCTCTTCAGAATAAAACACCCTGAAGAATTATAACAGAAGGTCTGTGGCCAGGAGACCCAGCAGGGGCTAGGGGAGGGGCATGTGCCTTGTTTTCCTCTGTGGTCTAGCAATTGTGGGGGTAATAAAATAATGGCTCACCTATTCCTAGGTCACACAACATTTTGGAAAAACCTCAACAACAAATTTAAATGTTTAAGTGTGAAGCCAATGGAGAAGGTGCATGTCGATTTCCAATTCACCTCTATGAGATTATCTAGTGGCCCACTGTCATCTACTTCATCTCAGTCAGTGCAGTCCAACCCTGATTGTTACCAATTTTTCCCCACGGACCTCTGCACATTTGTTTACAGCAAACTACTTCTATTCCCACGTTTTAGCATTGTGATGGAAAGTGTCTTGCCTTGTTTGGATCAGTGTCTGATCTTCCATTTCTCTGGCGTACTTTCCTAGACTCAAAAGTCAGAGATGGCCTCTGAGAACATGTGAGTATGTCCACATTTGGTTTCACACACTCAGACAGAAATGGCTATAGAGGGGCTCGCTCTGCTCACCCATGGGGTGGGATGACCAGGTATCGTAAGCCTGTCCATGTTTTGCTGACAAGGGCCTGAGTCTGCTGGGATGGCTGCAGAGGGAGGCTGTTCCTCTTTCTCACTGAAGATCAGTGCCCCCAGGGCAAAAAGACTGGGCATACAAGGCACAGATGCCAGAACCACACTGCTTGCAGGTCAAACTCAACACAGTGCCCAGGAATCCTGGCCTTGAAGATTTAACTTCTTTGGGCTCTGATGCCTTGGCCCAGGGAAGCAATATGTCCAGAGGACTATGGCTCTCCTCTGTCTTGGACCCTGAGAGGAAGCACTGGCCTGCAGCACTCCCCAAGGCTGAGCAGCCTAGCCCTGCCACATGGCAAACAAACTGCCCTTACGTTTTGCCCTTTATCTGCTGATGGCACTACCCCTCTTTCCTCCCCAGGGCAGCACTGGCTTACAACACCAGTGAGCCATGGCCCTCATCTGACTTGCAGATCAAATTCAGGATGGAGCAAGGGCCCCTTTTCCATCATCTTCCCACGCACTCAACATTCATCAGCCCCAGCTCAGTGATGACATCAGTCTCATCCCATAAACATTTACCCTTCCTTCTGTTACACGACCGTCACTGTGGAGATGTGGTCTATAATGGACATACATCCTTAGGGCTGTCCGGGCCCCCAAACTATCAAACTTCCCACTCTGCACGAGTATTTTCAGGGTTCCCTCCTGTGTCCTGGGTCTTCCAAGAAGACCTTGCTAAGGAGTTGGGAAGCAGGATTTGGTACCTGGAGTTCTAGACTCCTAGTGTCAGAAGAGGCGTTCCAGCTAGAGATTCTGTTTAGATGTGGTGGCCAACTGTAAGGTCATGAGTGTAGCAGGGCTTGGCCATGCGCCTGTGTGGTTTGGCTTTCTCCTCTTGCCATTAGTTGTCCCTCACCCACCTGCCTCTCCCACATTCAGAGGCTCTCAAGAGATGGATGCACAGGGCCCATATGCTGGGCAGCCTGCAGTGGGAGATCATGATCCTGGAACTGACAGGAAGATGCGCCAAACATCAGAGAGCCCTGCTGAGCCTCTGTGTTACTGCAGCCACTGGGTCAGGGTGCACTTGAGTGTCCCCTCAACAGAACAGCTGCAGTTTGACAGATGTCCCTAACCACAACAGGACAGAACAACATCCAGCAGAATCATTGCAAAGGACTCCTTAATTGTCCCGTTAATTTGAACTGAAATATTTCCTTACTACTCCCTATTTGTGTAAGTCCTGAGGGACACAGAATTTTCAGGCAGCCCTGCTGGACTGCAGCTGCCCTACTCAGCTTTCAGGCTGTCAGCAGTGTGGTCAGTACCTGGAGGAGGATGCGGCCAATACCACTCAGTAGCTGTGGCTCCTGCTCTGGGTAGTACTTGATAACTGCGCGGTAAGCATCTACAGCCAGCACGTAGTCCTGTGGCAAGAGACCAAAAGCATGCCGTGAGCTGGAAAAGCTGTACAGCTGTTCACAGAGCGTTGCACACCAAGGACACACACACTCACTCACACACACACACACACACACACACACAGAGAGAGAGAGAGAGAGAGAGAGAGAGAGAGAGAGAGAGAGAGAGAGAGAGAGAGAGAGAGAGAGAGAGAGAGAGTGCCAGTGCAGGACCCCTCCCCTCAATGGTGGTGGACTGAGTTCTCTGTGCCATATACGTTCTTCTGTTATCACAGGGGCTCTGGACCCAGAATTTGGCCTAAAGGCTGCTTCTTGCTCCTACCTAAGCAGAAGTCACACTTCCCCACGCTGGGTCCCTAGCTTTTTTCTGGCAAAATTGTTACAAGGACTTGTGGTTCTACACTGTCCCATCCTCTAAACATGTAATCCATACCTTAAAAGTGCTAGATACTGAGGTGAAATGTTGGTATTGAAACGAATAGCCCACTGATGAACTCTGCTGTGACAGTGAGGGCATGTGGATGTCCCTATGTGTAGTCAGGGCTGGGACAGGGTCACAAAGGAACTGAGGTGCTATAAGCTTGGTGCCTGCATTCTGCAGAGCCCTTTTGCCTTCACATACTCCAGCTCTGTGCACCTTCCTAGTAGTGGCCACGCTACATGCCAACCCTGCCTGCAGTGTCTACAGTGGTCTGCAGTGATAAAGGGTGTTATCACAAGATTCAGAAGTCAGCTCCTTCTGCATCCTCTGTAGCTGTGTCCCTGAGTAAGCTCTGTGGCATGACCTGTGCTGAACACTGATTTTCTCTCCTCTACTGCTCATGGTCACCAGCCCAGGGACACCACTGCTGATTTTCTCCTAACCATAAAATTTGGGAGGGTATTGCATTTCTGTATTCTAAACTTTGTTTCCTCCAAACTGGGACTACAGTTACTGAGTTTGCTAATTGGGAGGTTAAAAGACAGACGAGTGAAACTCCAGTTTTACTCTCCAGTCTGGTACCTCCAAGTGCTGCTCGTTAAAACTAATTTTATTCAAGGCCTGATGCTCACAAGGAGCCAGAGCCCACATGCCTTCATTTCCTTTCCCACTGCATCACTGCTGCCCAAGGCCAGGCTGCCTTACTTCTAGTTGGGCCAGCCGGTGCATGTGTGAGTGTGTACAGGTGCATCTGTGTCCATGTCCCATGGAGTGTCCTTAGAGGGGGCACTGTGACTCTATGTGACATCTCCTCACATTCTGGAAGCCAGGGTTATGGCTGGGAGGACACACCATCTTTGTGTAGCTTGTGGATAGACCTGCTTTCAGACCACTGTCCTAGGGTCTGGCTGCTCCCCAGATGAGCAGCAACCAGTCTTACTTCCCCCAGGAGAGTCATGGTCCCTCAGCTCTGCTCTGCTGCCCCTCTAACCTAACATGTACCCTTACATTTGGTTTCAGTAAGCAAAGGGCAGGCGGTGCCGAGTGTCACCAGCTCCTGGTCACAGTGCTGCGTCTGATCACACGCTGTCGTGACCTGCGCTCCATTTTGCTTTTGATGCATCTGATAAACAGCTGTTGACAGGGCCAGGGTGGGAGCTCAGAAGGCCAGTATGCCTGGGTGACAAGCCCTGCTAAGACCCTAGGTTTTTTGACTGGCATTATTGCCTTCCAAACCTGCCTGGAGTCAGGGGTTCATGCTACCGAGGATGGCTTGGCAGGAAAGAAACAGGGCTTAAATACACCTGAATATACCTGTCATAGATAATGGTTTCTTTTATAGTCTTTTAACACTATGTAGCTCTGTATGGCCTGTAGTGATGCAGACCGGGCTGGTCTTGAAGTCTCAGAGATCCCCGTCTGGAAAGTGTTGGTATTAAAGGTGTGCAACATCACATCCAGCTTTGATGGAATTTTACTGCTTTCCTGGGGAGGCAGGATAGACCCACAGACTTGGGAACCATGAGAGAAAGTAGCAGCAGAGAAGGGATCAGCAGGCAGCTGTCAGAGGCATCCATGTTTGCAGATGTCAACAAGCCTCAGGCTTTAGGGCATGCCTGTTAGGGGGAGGGTTTAGAGCTGTGTGGGCTACTTCCCAGTTGGTTACAGCTCAGTGAAACCACAAATTCTTGGAACCAGAAGGCCTCTTTACAGGACTGAGGCCAACAGAAGCTTCTTGGAGAGTGCCAAATCTATTCTTCTGACCACCCACCTTAAAAAGACACACAGACACTCATGCGTGGGCAAAAAGTACTCTAGCACAACCTGTGAGCAACTGCACTGGAGGAGTGACAGCTAAGCCATATTAATGGTCTTTTGCCACCAAAGGCTTCATGGAGTAGTGACCTGAGTAAGGAGGAGGAAACCTGTGTGGTGCGGGCTTTTTCCCACAAAGAAGCCACACAGGTGGTGGTGTTGTGTGGGAGGTATAGGGGCACACTGGGGATTATCCAAGGGAGGCTACATCTCCGGGCAGGTTCGCTCTGATCATGTTTACGAATGGAGGGCTTTGTCTTGCAAGAAAGTGTTCCAGACATTGCAATGTGGGATACTCAGAACTGGTACATATAACCAAATTTCTTATTGAAAGGCTGATTAACTAAGTCATTGTTAGCTGGCACACAGGCCATGCAGCCCAGCCACTGCGGCAATGCTGGTTGTGCCCACTAGATGGCAGCAGAATGCACATGCTTGCATTCACTGTACTTGCAATGTTTCTCTCACTCCTTTAACTCATGAAAATAAAGATTAAACCGAACTTTGAAGTAAATCACACCATTGTGAAAGTATTTTTGAAACATGATCCTCTGTCCTGCACTGAGTCTAGAATGATGGGGTGACACAGGCAGATGCTTGTGCCTGAGTTACTGGTGGCATCACTGCTGCAGGAAAACAAAGAAAAGCATTTTTCTAGCAGAGCATGTCAGAAATGCAAGCAGCTGAATGCCCAGCATCAAAGTGGGGACTTCCTTCCTTGAGGGTGTGCAGCTTGTGGTTGGGCAACACCAATGCTGCATGTGAGACTTTCAGGTGATGCTGGATGCTCACTGTGGCTTCTAAGGTTGCCCCTGGCCACAGGAGTGCTGAGGGCGAGGCCCTTCCCTGGCAAAGGCTGCAGCACATGGGGGTAGGGGTAGAGGTGGGGGCGGGGCGGGCTTTGCAAGATGTCATGAGGGAGGAGGAGGGAAGAGGCCAGGAACAGAGTGGCCCTACAGGCAACAAGCCTAGTGCAAATGTGTTAGGCACACAACTACTGAAAACCGTAATGTGTTAAAAAGGAGGAAAGAGATGTGCGGTCCACGGCTGGGAGAGATATTAGGACACCCATTCTTTCTGTGTCAAGGTCACATACCAAAGGATGAGCCTGGCCTGGCTATCTACACCCAATGTCACACATCACACACCTGCAGAGGTGCAAAGGATGCATGCTGCCCTATGGCTGGGCTGTGACCACATTCTTTCTCCTGCCAAACCCAAGGACATGGCCACGTGGAGGAGCACATTTCTCCACTTGGTAACATGCCCACTGGCGGATGCTCAGTCAGAGCAGGATGACCTTGGCTGTGGGAGGAGTGATGAGCTGTCTCACCACAGCTTGGAAGGTGTTAACGGTGCTGCTCTGGGCGGGCGTCTGCCACTGACAGATTCTGTGGCAGCTTCAGTGCCTGCAGCTGGCAGCAAGGCCATCAGCTCTGTGGCAGACCACCCGTGCCCAGGACGGGAGGCAAGCCAGGCATAGGATGGATTTGAAATAAGAGAGAAGTCTGAAAACACGGCTGTCTAGGCTGGCAAGGCCTGTGTGGAGAACAGAGGCTGATGGCTCGGCTGGGCTCCCTGACTCACTCTGGCTCCTCAGGTGGAAAGCTTGGGGTAACCTCCTTATGAGTGGGTCTGGTGGGAAAACCTGCCTTCAGAGGTCAAAACCATCAATCATTAAACAAACAAACAAAAGATGACCCTCACACTGAAGCCAGGAGAACAAAGGACACTTTTTCTGGCTGTAGTTCAGAGGAAAAACGAGTAGAATGAGCAATTTTAATTAGACCATTTAGACCTAGGCCTGCTCAATTAAATTCAGTAACATAAACCGTTTTCTGCAGAATTTCAAAATGACATGTTTGGCCCCCAAGTGTGAGTGAACTGTACTGAGCAATCTAGGCCATGCTGACACTGCTGAGGCCCACGGCCCACTTCCTCATCAGGCCTGTTGGAACACACAGCACTTCCTTGTAGCAGGCTTCCTGCTGACACTGCCTTCTAGAACAAGGTGTTCTACAGCTCAGCTGCCCACGTACCTTCATCAGGAGCAGACAGTTTGCCATGGAATACAGCACACGGCCCAGACGTGACCTCCACAGCTGGATGGAGGCTGCAGGAGAGAGAGAGAGAGAGGGAGAGAGAGAGAGAGAGAGAGGTGTGAGCACGCTTGAGCAAGCATGCTCATGCAAGCTGGCAACTGCTGCACCCTGTGTTATTGATTTCAAAGCCCCTCACCCCCATCCCAGCCTAACCCTACCAGGTTTCACCCGGAATTTTTGTTCACTGTATGCCGCACTGGAGACAGAAGACAGTGTTCTCATTGGGATGGCCAGAGTGGGCTCTCATATGAGACCACCTACACAGATGCAGCAAGAAAAACAGCCCAGCTCAGACAGAAGATGAAGCGGTAATCAGAAGCCCGCTTCTATCCCAGAACTCTAAGCCTATGAGCGTGCCTGATGCACACACAGCACATCTGTTGCCCACGGTGGAGGCTGACCCATGTACACAGTCCCTGTTCTGGTCCAGTGGCTGTGGAGAAGCAGGCTCTGCAGAGGTCAGGCCTTGGTGCCTGCAGCCTGGAACTGGCCACTTCTCCAGGCCTTTAGTCTTAGAAGGGAACAATGCTGGTCTGCCTTCTACACAGGCTTTGTTGAGGGTGTATGCTGGTAGTGATCACAAAAGTGGTCCGTGAAAGGTGAGAAGCACTCAGGCTTGCAAATGGGACAAGGGCAGTGCCCATGGTTGTCCATGTGGCAGATGGGTAAGCTGTGCATCTCTGCACACTTCTGACTCCAGCTGTCCACTGGTTCACAACTTTCACTGGCCATTTCTTCTTTGGTTTTCAAGCTGCCTCTGTGAACTCACTGGGGCTGGAATGATCCCTTCACAGACATTTGATGTGAGTGGAGGGCTGATGGTTTTTGAGGTCATCAGGAATAAGGGCTGAGCTGGGGACTTTACTGCTTGCACAAACTAGGGCAAGCTGACACATCTGTGCCTCTGGGCTTCAGCCTTGTCACCCACAGGATATATCCACATAAATGCATTTATACACATCCCAAGTCATGCACGCATACCACATATCCATCACCCACACAGCACGCATACACACCTGGCCCTTCAAATCCAGGGCTCCTTGCTAGTGTACTCAGCATACTGTAGACAGAATAACTGCCATGGTGGGGATGTGTACACAGAGTTCATGTATCAGGGATATAATCCCTAGAGCCACACCTTGATGGTATTTGAAGTGGGGGTCTTTGGGAGGGCACTGTGAGATTAGTGGAGTCCTGAGGTGAGGCCACATCATGGCATTGGTGGTTTTCTAAAAGAATCATGTGATATCTACTTCCTGCTACAATGCAGAAGAACTCACCATATGCCAGCACCAACTCAGGGACATCCTGGATTCCAGAAATGTTGAGTCTAAAACAACTCCCCTCTTTATAAATTAACCAGAATTGGGCATTTCATGGTAGCAAAAAGGAAACAGACTGAGACACGACCTTCTCAGAGGCAGTTCTGCCAATGAAGTTCACCATGTGTCCATTTCTAAGATGCCATGGGAGGTTGGAATGCTCAGCCACTGACTGTGCACACTATGGCTCCCTTCCTCTCCTTCTCAGTGGGCTCCTCCTGCCCTGCAAATCTGTCTAGGCAAGTGAAAAGTCCCTAGGGCACCGATGACTGGGTTGGGTGATTCTTAGAATCCATTTAAATTTCTCATCATTTGGTTAAAACCCACGTTCTTCCTCTCACCTACCTAGGGTACATCCACAGCACAGCGACAGCGGGGGTCGGGGGTGGGTGGGGAATGGATGAAAGGACTATTCCCCAATGGGTAAGAGTGAGAACCAACTGTAGGGTTAAGCCTTCCATATCTGAGGGCGAGAACAGAAGGGGACTGCTTACCTTGCCTGCTCTCCTGGGTGACGCTGCTCAGGCCGCCATCTTCTGCTAAGCCTTGCTCCAAGTTTGCCAGGATCTGCAGTCATTTCAAATAAGGACAACAAAACTGTGAGTGGATTTGTCTACACTGTTGTATATCCTAGAAAGAGCAAACTTTCTCTGAAAACCAATCAATTAAGGAAAGTTCGCACAGACATGTCCTTTGCACTGTGATGACTACTGGTTATTTGGAGGCGATGAGAAGAGCAGGGCCCCCACTCTGGTGGAAGGTAGAGTTTAGGGTTACGAGACTCATGTAAAGCCTTCTCAGACCCAGAACACAGGAGGCTCGGGTAGGCAGTGGAGGACTCCATTGAGTGTCCTCTTTTCACTTACCTATCCACACTGGGTATTCATTCTCCTTTGAAAGTTAGTATTTTGTATAAGCAAGAGAATAATGAGCTGTGGACTGTGACTAGAGACAGGCATGGGGCCCACAACTGTCCTTTGAGAGATTCAGGGGACAGACATAGGGTTCACGAATGTGACCTTGGAGAGAAGTAAGCCAGTTCAAATGAGGTCAAATGACATTTCTCAGCTAATTTGATAATCACGAAACCAGAAACTGACAGGGAATAAGGTCTTGAATCCCGTCAGGCTGGAGTAGAGAGAGAGAGCCCGGCAAGAAAGGGAAGAGATAAGGGACAGCAGAGGGCACCAGCATTCAGGGTTCAGTCTGAGAGCTCAGTAAACTAGGACAAAGGCTGATATTTACAACTGGAAAGAGCCACACACAGCAGGCAAGTGGACAGTTCTTCAGATGTGAGGGGTGTGGAGAGGTCTGTGTGCACAATTCCGTGTTCTGGGACTATCACATCACATATCTTGGAACACATGTGGATCCCTGTACTGGGCATTCAGGCCTGGGGGAGGGCTACATCCATGGAGCCCTGGATAGCTCCACCAGCACCCACGGGGAGGGTGGGAACTGCCTGCTGTTCTGGCTCTGAAGGAGAAGTGGGGCACTTGAGGGAAGCAGCACAGAAAATGGGGGAGCAAGGAAGGGCTCCCCAATGCGACGTGTGAGGCAGCACAAACCGAAGCTACTGGCGGTGGGTGTAGCAAAGGCAGAGCCAGCAAGTCCTTTACTGCCTGCTCTGGGCTCTCTTGGCCTTATGAATTCTCTTTTCCCAGTATGCCTTATGAGAACCAATAGGCTCACTGGTTCATACCCATGTATCAAGCTGGTGGCACTACTGTGAGGTTCTAGAAAGCTCAGAGAGCAGGGCTTACTTAGCTGGTAGACATGGGTACTGGGGAAAGGCCCTTGGGACCATCTATAGGTTATAAAGGGGACAGCTTGTGCCATGCTATTTTCCTGTGATGTTTTGCTGAAGCACATGGGCCAAGTGATCAGCTTGATCCCTCTGAAAACAGGAATCAAAACAAACATTTTTCCCTTCAGTGGTTTGTGCTGGGTAGTGGGTCACGATATCTTTCTTTCTTTCTTTCTTTCTTCCTTCCTTCCTTCCTTCCTTTTTTTTTTTTTTTTTTTTTTTTTTGGTTTTTTGAGACAGGGTTTCTCTGTGTAGCTTTGGAGCCTATCCTGGCACTCGCTGTGGAGACCAGGCTGGCCTCGAACTCACAGAGATCCACCTGCCTCTGCCTCCTGAGTGGGGTCACAGTATTTCTAAGAAAAGTAACTAGAATAACATGCATCAACACACAGGGGGAGGGACTGGAGCAGGTTACAGCCTCGGGCAACTCCTGTGAGTTGGGTGAGGGGGCACTGTGAGGAGCTCCAGGGTCTGCAGTATCCCAGGCCACTAAAGGGCTTGAGTGTCAGTGGGCAGGACAGTCACCTAAGGTTCTGGCTACAGACGTGAGAAGGGTATGTCCAGTGCAGGCTTCTGACCCAAGGTGGCCATATCTGCACTATTTAGGAAATGTGGATGCTGTAGGGGAAGGCTGAACTTGTAACTATGGCGTGGTTACACCCCCCACCCACAGGTCTCTCTTGCCCTGGATGCAAGAACCAGAGAACAAGTATCAACTAGACCCCTCCCAGCTGGCACAATAACCATGCTGTTCTGGGACATGCTCTGAAGGCTGAGGTTCCTGTGAAAGCGTGGGTGGCAGAATGATATTGGCTTGCTCCAGGTCTGCAAGAGGGCGGCTGGCATTTCTACTGTATTGGATTAGATAAACCTTCCAACGTTGTCAAATTTAAATAAAGAGTACATTGTAGCCGAGGCCCACAGTGCCCACCCTGTCTGGGGATGAGACAGGATCTACAGTTGTGCAGGCCCATTCCTCCTTCACCCTAAAGCCTCGTCTTCACCCATCCTGGCCCTCCCATACTCAGAATCACAATGATAGTGATGACACTATGGACGGCATGGCCTAATGGGAGCTGTGTGTGAGGTTCAGCCAAAAGTGCTAGGAAGCAATGCCACAGGAGCAGGCTATCTTCTAATCCAAGATATGGCTCTCCAGGCAGACACAGAGACTATGGCCCCAGGTGAGTAGGATAGCTTACTTTGTAATTAAAAAAGGGAGGACAGGGCTTTATTCCCTTCCCTCAAAACAGGTCTCCTGATACGGCCCAGGCTGGTTTTGAACTCACAGGTTCAAGTGTTCCTCCTCCCTCAGTCACCCAATTAGTTAGGACTCTGTTGCATACCATTTCTGGCCCAGCTCTGTTCTGGGTCAACATCTTGTAAAGAGTTAATGGCTTATAAGACTCTCTGAGGTCAAAACAGTCCTCAGCTGAGGCCCTGCTGGCATGTGGTTAGAACCTGTGGGACAAACCCAGGTGACGCTTTGTAGGAGGTCCCTTGGGTGCCATGTCCTGAGAATGGGTGCAGTACAGCTTCAGGAGGGGGGGGGCTGTGTTCAGTTATCTGGGAGTCGCCTTGGCCATGTGCACAGGTCTAGGCTTCACCATCCTTCAGAGATCCAGCCTTGGGCCTGCAATCTGCCACTGCAGAGACAAGGAACCGGATGCCCAGGAGCCAGTGACAGACACGCCTGAGTGCTCCCTGATGATGGGCACTGAGAAAGCACAGGACAGAGCTCCAGCCTGAGGATGGTGATATGACAGGCTAGAGCAGCCGGAGGCCTGGGCTCAGAAAAGAGGCATCTGTCACACCATCTCTATCTGTGGCTCAGTCTCCCTTTTAGTGCTGGCAAGAGAGAGCAGAGTCAGTAGGGCCAAGGGATAGCAGGCTCTGAGGCGAAGCAGGGTGGTCTCTACTCTGAGATCTTTGGATGAAAAGCTGTTAAGCATCTGTAGGAAGAGGCGAGGGGAAGATACATGTGCACTGTGGATCTCAAAGTCTGTAAAAGATGAGGAGGGTCTGGGGCAGAGGAGACAGAGGGACAACGATGTAAAGCATAGGGCAGAGTGACTACATGGGACAGAGTGAGCACACAGGACAGTGACCACAAAGGGCCATGCACTGCACAGAGCAGGGTGACTACAAAGGACAAAATGACCATTAAAAGACCACTTACTATGCAGGGTAAAATGACAACATGGGACAGTGATGTCACAGGACCAGACACCACACAAGGCAGAGTGACCTGATATTTAATGACCACACAAGACAGACCACACACTGCAGTGCAGAATGGCCACTCAGATAAAAGTGACCATATGGGACCATGCACTGCACAGGGCAGAATGGCCATCAAGGACAGAGTGACCACATAAGGCAAAATGACATCTTGGGACAGAGTGACTATACAGGACCAGGCAACTGCACAGTGCAGAGTGACTATATGGAATTAAGTGACCAGAGAGGACCAGGAAATGCACACAGTTAGAGTGAACACAAAGGACAAAGTGACAAAGGAGAGTGTGAGTGTGTTCACGTGGGTGAATGGGGGCATCTGGGCAGAAAGGGCTGGATACCTCACTCTCAGCTCAGGGAGCTGTCTGTAAACTACAGGGAACCATGTTCTACAGATAGGCATCGTCAGTTCAGAACACAAACAGTTCCTCTTCCCCCAGCCCTTCACGCCCTTGTGCAGTGTGTGGCACAGTCATAGCAGTGACTTTGGGCACAGTGAGATGTGGCCTCAAGTTCAGGGTGACTTGAGCTTATCATCTCTAATTTCTATTTCCTTATCTGGAAGCCCCAACACATTTTTCTTGTTTGCATTATGGGGCACAGGGCTCCATGGAGAATGTACTTTTAGTGTTTTGTAAACTTTAGAAGTGCCGAGGGAAAATGAATTACACAAAGCCACAACATTAAAAAAACAACAAAACAAAACAAAAACCCCTCCATTGCCTCAGAGTTTTTCTGTGGTCTTTCTTTGCCTCTGTCCCTGCAACAAACAGAAAAGGTTTGGAAATGTGTGATCTGGGAGCAGTGAGGTAACACTTGCTGACTGCTAAATAGTAAGTGGGTCTCTGAAACTTCTGGGAGCTTTCTCAGCAGGATGTGTGAGATGTTGTAGAGGAAGTCGGGAGCTGTGTAGGGCACTGAGGCCTGTAGGGAGTGGTTTCTCCAGAAACCTGACCCTAGGCTCCTCCTGGAGTCATGAGCTCACACCAAGAACTGTCAGGGAGAAGAAATGGAGGGCAGGGTTCTCCCAAAGCGTGCCAAGGAGCTATTCATCCTTAGAAACAGCAGATCCTGGCCAACTCGCCAAGGTGTAATACTTAAAACACACAACACCTTCTCACTTCAGTGCACACAATTCAAAGGCTGGAGTTTGTGGCTCTTAAACAAACAGAAACAGGTGGCGGGGACACTGGGCCCTCTAAGACATAAGGTCATGTTCTGGGCTTCTATCTCTTCCCTTGGCTGGGAGTCAGCTGCCACAGGAGGACATGCAAGCAAGGGGTGGGGGTCCTCTTATGAACAAACAGAAAGGCTTGACATGTGTGAGGGAGCTACCTGGCAGCCCCCTCTAGGCCCAGTGGAGTCATCCATCTCACCTAGAACTACAACTGCCCTGGAGGTGGTCTAGACAGAATACCTTGGGTGCGGTGACATTGCCAGGCTGTTACTGCCTTGCGGACCAGGAGGGAATGGAGTGACATTTCCCGTTCTGAAAGACTAAGAGCCGCCACCAATAGACCCCCTTGATGAACTTCAGACAAAGGTGGCAATCTAAAGCAATGCACGGTGAATCCTGAGACTCAGGCCCCAGGCAATACCAAGTGGACTGCAGTCACAGACCACATGGCCTGAAGCTACAGAATCACAGTGTTTGCCCTGGCTTCTCTGTGCTGCTAACACCGAGGCGACTTAGTAGACAGACTCAGGACACAAACTCTGCTTCTCCTGGTGTGGTCACCAGGTTGCAGAAGGCGCCTTCTCTGATTTTATCACTGGTTTCTTTGAGTGGCTTCTCGGGATAGGTCCCTGCCCTATATCCATGATCACAACTACCATGAAAAACAAGAGGGGGAGTCCTTTAAAAAAATCCTGAAATCAGCACCAATGTACTGAACAGCGCAGGCGTTATGTCCAGAATGACAAGCTTGTTTTGAAGGAGTGACATGAGGGACATGGAGAGGGATGGGGATATCTGGCTTTGACTGTCTCCACCATCTTCCCCTCATTTCACTTCCTTTTGCTTCTCCTCCATCTGATCTCTCCTCTTTTATAGACTCTGTAAGGCCCCCTGCTCCGCTTAGTTTACATGACCCAGCTCACAGAAGAGTGACTGTCTTGACCTGAGGAGCAAATGCAGACGCTGGCCTCGGATCACGATTCAGGAGAATGTTCAGGAGGAAAAGGCCTCTGGACAGAAGGCCCCTTGCCCAGCATGGGCACCTGAAGCCCAGGCCCATCTCCCATACGGCCCTTTCCACCCATGGACAGATCTGAGGAGTCTGGCCTCCTTCAGCGCCCACCCTGAATGAGCTTGTTTTCTCCAGAAGTTTTTGTCTCCTGCACTTTCTGTAGAGTGGTAATATATGGCAATTCTGCAGCCCAAGAGAATGGAACCTGTCTGCCCCCTAGGTACCACGTTCCTACAACTCTGCCCAACAACAGATAAGTGTACAGAGGACATGCGGCATCTTCGCACAGCTGAGAGGTGTTCAGGAGGAGAGAAGGAAATTCTGTCACTTGCAGCAGCATTGATGGAACTGGAGGGCAGCATGGCCGGTTCGCTCCCCAGGTGGAAGTCAGAAGGAGGCTCTGAGTGTACAGGTGTCAGAGATGGGCTAAGGGCTGACAAAGGAGGCGGCATTTGCATGCATAGAAATACAGCGCTCTAACCCATCGACAGGTGCAATTAACTCACTAATCAAAGATTAAAGCAAGTGCTTTAAGCCATGGAATAATTTGCTAGGCAGCAGCTGATCACAAATCAGCAGCTGAGTCAAGGTTACCTTGCACCGATTTCAATGTAGGGGTTCCCATGAGAAGCAGTGAGCTGAAACACCTTGGGATTTCAGTTCATTCAATCTGCACATCCTGAAATATACCCCTCACTGGGTGTCTCACGAGCTCACCACTGCAATCAACTTCAGGTGTGGGAAGAAGGCACTTGGAACTGAGTGGGCAGGCGTGAGGAGGAAGCAACAAAGGTGAAGCATGGGGCTGAAAGAGAGGCTCCTGGCATGGCCGTTTCTCCGATGAGAGCAGGCGGGAGGGTTCTTCCAGACCCCCCTGGGAACATTCTGGATTAGATCTGGGTAACAGACCCATTCCTACAAGGCAGACAACTATCACTACACACTCACAGCACAGGAAAGCTGTGTGTCCCAGGGAAATGATGCCTTGAATGACTTTGGCACCCTGCTTGAATCCATTTACAGCTACTACCACTTGCTTGACAGTTTTAAAAAGGCAACCTGTAACCTATGCATACAGAATGGATCCAGGGTCCCTGCTTTGAGCTTTACAGTTACCTGAGAAGGTGGCTCAGCAGGTGTCTTAACTTGTTACAGACACCTTGCTTCTGACTAACAGGGAGGCCTTCCTGCCTTTACCGATGGCACCTGGGGGCTCTCTGGGACAGTCTTCCTGCAGGGAAGAGGGTTCTCAGGGTGATATTACTACACATCCCTACTGTCCAGCACTGAGTGGTCACTAGTCCCAGTCACTAGCAGCATTGCTCAGCACTGCAGGCCAGGGCTGGTCAGGATGAACAGTTGGATGTCTGCACCCAAAGCGCTCTCTCACAGTCAATGACTCTCACAGTCAATGCCTATCGGACCTTCCCGCCTTAAAAGGGGAGAGGTGTACTTTTCTCTCCACTCATATCAGACTGAGGGAATGTGTATGCTGAGAACAGAAAGGCAAAGAGGGCTGAATGGGAGACATCTTTTCCTAGCCGGAAAGCCTGCTTTATTCTGGGCTCCTATGTGTCTCTCTTTAGTCTTGGGGCCCATGCTTAGTGTATCAAAATCCCACCCTTGTCTGGCTGTGGCCATTGGCTTTATTGTCCATGCCCTGGGATTTGTAATGGTGCCATTCAGAGGTTTCTGAAGTACATTTCCACTGTGAGCCCCACCAGGGCAGCAATCCTGCAAACCCACACAAAGGGAGGCATGGCTCTGTCACTGAGGGCAAGTCACTCTGGGCAGAAACAGGGGGCCAAGTTTGAGCCTGGAGGGCAGGGAGTGTGCCTGCAGCTGGGATGGATGAAACTATCCTCACTCACTCTTTCTATCTCTTTAATCTGCTTGCCGAGTGCCCCCATCTTCTTTGACTAAGTCGCAATTAATTTGCTCTCCACAGGAGGGAAAGGGAAGTGGAGCAGGAGGAGCATCTGCATCAGTGGGGAGCCCTCGGCTTACGGCATCAGGGTGCTGGCGGCCGGCCTGCCTGAGCCACACTGAGAGGACAGTGGTGGCTGTTGTCCTGCATTTCTAACTTTGTCTACTGTAAAGCAGCAAATCCAAGTGTGCCCATCTGTCAGAAACCCCTTTTAGCAAAGATGCCAACCCTTCCTGGAACAGAGCTCTCACGCTGTCTCGTCAGTCATCAGTAGAGAAGCAGGCCACTCACACCCCACGCGATTCTTTTTCAGAGTGTAGAGACAGAGCCTCATCTGCTGCCTACTCCAGCTGCAGCTAAGGAAGCCTTTCCACCTGGAACCCTAAAGCCAAATCTACTTGGGATTTGGGGCAGTGGGGGAGGTGGCTCATCTGTATTGGCAAATGAAATTAACCTCAAGCTAATTGGACCTCACTATTTATGGATTATACCAATTTATGCAAATGACTCTTAGGAATGTCTCTATTGAGTGGATTCTTTCCCAAATGGCTTGCAAAGCTCTGGTGAGACCCAGAGGTGCAGACAGCCTGCAGAACCAGAAAGAGAGGCTCAGAAAGCAGAAGATAGGCATGTGCAGACAGTGACAGCCATGAACTTCAGAGTCATAGCAGCAAGGCACACTTGACACCATTTAAACCAAACACGTGAATTCACCAAAGGACTCAAGACAATAGACAAAACCAACACTGGACACCTTTGTGGAAAATAAGTGTCGGCCTGATAAAACTGGACGCCATTTAAGAACATCAAGTTGGCTGGGCAATGGTGGTGCACGCCTTTAATCCCAGCACTCGGGAGGCAGAGGGAGGCAGATCTCTGTGAGTTTGATACCAGCCTGATCTACAAGAGCTAGTTCCAGGACAGCCTCCAAAACCACAGAGAAACCCTGTCTCGGGGGAAAAAACAAACAAACAAAAATACCCATCAACCTGATAAGCACATTGAACACACACAGACTCTATTCATTCCTTCTATACAGGAAGAACTTAACAGGGCAAACCGGATTACAACTCCCCAGAATTCTGTAATGGGTTCTACTCCCCTCTCGGCTTTGGCTTCCAGGATGTTAGGCTTCGTGGCAAGCCCCCTTACCCGCTAAGCCATCTCACCAGTACCAAGTCTGTGGTTTCTGAGACAGGGTTTTGCCAGGTAGCCAAGGCTGGCTTTGACTCTGCAATCCTCCTGCCTTAGCCTGTTCTTTTCTAGGTTCTTTCCCGAGTATGGACATTGCAGGTGTGTATCACCATGCTTGCTTTGTGCTTACCATATAAGAAGAGTTACTACGAGAAAAAGTTGAGTAAGTGTAGGCAAGCAAGCAGGTCTGTCTTTTGGTAATGTTTTTGGGTAGTGCTCTCAGATATAGCATAATCTGGCTTAGAACTTGTGTCCTGCACCCCCCCCCACCTCAGTCTCTGGAGTCCTGGGATTACATGTGACACCATGCCTAGCTCATCTACCTTCTATGTTATGGCATGAAAGTGAAGTGGGTACAAAGCCAAGGGAGTTGAGTGCCTCAATCTCTGTCCACACTTTAGTAAGGGCCTCTCTGCACAACCTGGCAGAGCTCTCATCACTCTGCACTCTGTGGGGAGACTAAAGTCATGACCCTGGAACAGCACAACAGTTTTATAAGAAAAGCCAGGAAGTGAAAAGAGATTTAACAAATGTTACCATATTTTTCTCAAAAATTATGCCATGCTGCCATTACTAACAGGTCCCACAAAGGAACACTGTGAGGAGGGTTGCAGAGCAATGCCATGAAACTTCTGAGTGAGGGGTTTCCCACAACCTGTGGATGGTGAAGCCACTAAACTCCACACTTCTCCATAAAGTCAAAGAATGGGAATGACAGTTTGAGGTTCTGTTGATTCAAAAATTACTTGGCAGTTGGGAACAATTAGACAAGCACCCATGGCCTTCTGGCCTCTGACATTGGTCCTGTGAATTATGGCTGGGTCCTGTGAATTATGCTCAGGGTCATTCTGAAGATCCCACATGGCTACAGAGCTCTGCTTGGCACAGGAGTGGCCTGCCTCACTCTTGGGGAGGCTGGTCAGTGTTTACCCATGTGATTTCCAGTGAGGAATATGACCACTGTGAACTAAGGAAAGGACTTTCAGGACTCAGAGACTCTGCCCCAAACCATAATTCTCCTGTGCTGAACCCTCCCCCACACAATAACTTTAGGCAAGAGTACCATGGCTACACTATTCCAGGACCTTGTGTGTGAGGAGGAAGTGAGATGGCCTCCCTGGGGGACTGGTGGAGAATGGCATAATGTGAATGCTGAGACAAAGCAGAATGAATACCACGGTGGTTACCTTGCTGCAGACGGTCTTGACCCTATGTAGTCGGTCCAAGGAGTCCTGTGGGTTCCCCAGATACTGCTGCAGTTCTGCATGCAGAATGCGCATCGAAAAGGGGACCATGGAGCCTAGAGTAGAAATCAGAAATGAGTCAATGAGCTTACTATGAATGTGTGCATTTTCTGACTATGCAAAGGAGGCATTTGCAAGTGTCTGAGTTACTGTTCCTATCACTGATGAAATGCCATGACCATTGGGGGGAAAAGAGGGTTTATTTCATCTTACAGCTTGTAGTTCATCATCCAGGGAAGTCAGGGCAGGAAATCAAGGCAGTAACCTGGAGGCAGGGGCAGAGGTAGGGGCTGACACAGAGGTCATGGAACAGTATTGCTTACACCTGACCTGGGCAGCATAGTAGAGCTGACCCTATTGACTGGGGTGCAGGTGAACTACTCCAAGTACATGAGCATGGGAGAGCTATCTCTGCCCCTCATCTGCCATATGGTGCTGGAATCAGGAAGAGGGTATCCATCCTCCTCTAGCTGTGGGTAGCAGGAAGAGGTCATCCTTCCCACTACAGCTGCAAGAAGCAGGAAGAGGCTATTCTTCCTGCCCTAGCTGTGGGAAGCAGGACGAGGGCATCCTTCCCACTCCAGCTGCAGGAAGTAGGAAGAGGGCATCCTTCCTTGGTGTTCTGGAGTTCAGGCAGAGTGATGTGAACTATAAATTTAAATATAACTTCAGCACAACACGTTAGCTGTGGGAGGTGAACTGATTTTGCAGTAAAAAAAAATGAAATCCCAGATGTTTGCAATATTATGCTGCACATTTAATTTGAGCTGCTAGGTCAGGTTTTGTGTGGATATAAAAGACTTTCAGAATTTAGTTTGAGGATGAGACCTGTGAGCTGCAGAAGCTGGAGGGAGCAGAGGAAGACTGGAGACTAGGTGAGAACTTAGAGGAACAGACAGTTTCGGGGAGGACAGAAACTTAGCTCTCAGTTAAGTCGAGAGTCAGTACATCTGGCTCAGCTGATGTGAGGGTGATCTACCAGGACTAAGTTCTGAGGTGAGGCTCCCCATCATCAATGCAGCTGCTGCAACCTGAACTAAACACACAGACCTGAGACCCATAGGGGCGCTGTTCTGATGCACTGAAGATAATAAAAATGTGTTTTATTTCTGGAGAGAGATCTTTCACCTCATATCCTCCAGTGCACTGAAGGGAAGGCACTGTTTAACGTTAAGCAGTACCACGAAAACCCCAAACTCATGCTACTCCTAGTCTTTCCTTCCCAGGGGAGAGGGCAGGACTAGTAATGAGAGCTCAAGTCATGGGGCCTCGGTGCTGGGGAGGGACATGCAACCTTGGTAGGAGAGAGCAGTGGGTGTGGTGGCAGAGCAGGATTGGGGGCAGCGGGCCGAGGTCTGTGGGTACTGGGGCTGCATGGCTTGAACTCATCATCCTCCTTGCTGTCCCCGTGAGCAAGAAGGGGGCTCTGTACAGCAGACAGACTGGCTGCAACCAAGGGCCAGTGGACACAGCTGCTCCTATGAGCAGGAAGGGGGCTGTGTACAGCAGACCAGCTGGAACCAAGGGTCAGTGGACAAAGCTAACTAGGCTTGCAGAGCAGCTCAACATTGGATAGAAACTGCTAAACTATCCGAGAAATATACCAAACACAGCACTGTCCCTTTTGTGAATGAAAAAAACAACTCCACTTCATCAGCTTCATACACAATTCATCAAGTCTTGTTATGAATATCTTGAATGGTTACAAATTATGTCCAATCTTAAATGAAATATATTAAAGCTTGTTCATAAGTTATTTGTTTGTTTGTATTACTATAACCTCCTTTTTAAAACACATTTTAATGATTTGCTTTGCTTATATATTGTGAGCTAAAATGAAATGAATGAATCAAACTCTTACATTTATGCTTGTTATGCCATAAAATGATAAGAGGCATTAGCCAGCGTCCAGCCTATCACTATGGATGCATGTTAACACTCCAGCATGTGTGATTTATGTCCATTTCATAATCTGAATTAGCTGCTTAATGATGCACAACTCTGTCTTCCCTTCATTCACATGTGAGTGCCATTTAATTTCAGAAGCAGAATACAGGCTGCACATCCGCATGCTCTAGAGACAGCACTTCTGCATGCTCTCCATGCTGCACACCTGCATGCTCTCCATGCTGCACATCTGCATGCTTTCCAGGCTACACATCCGTATGCTCTATAAACTGCACATCTGCATGCTCTCCAGGCTGCACATCCACATGCTCTATAAACTGCACATCTGCATGCTCTATACACTGCACATCCACATGCTCTATAAACTGCACATCTGCATGCTCTATAAACTGCACATCCACATGCTCTATAAACTGCACATCCGCATGCTCTCCAGGCTACACATCCGCATGCTCTATAAACTGCACATCTGTATGCTCTATAAACTGCACATATGCATGCTTTCCAGGCTACACATCCGTATGCTCTATAAACTGCACATCTGCATGCTCTCCAGGCTACACATCCGCATGCTATATAAACTGCACATCTGTATGCTCTATAAACTGCACATCTGCATGCTCTCCAGGCTACACATCCACATGCTCTATAAACTGCACATCCGCATGCTCTCCAGGCTACACATCCGCATGCTCTATAAACTGCACATCCGCATGCTCTCCAGGCTGCACATCCGCATGCTCTATCAACTGCACATCTGCATGCTTTCCAGGCTGCACACTTGCATGTTCTTCAGGCTGCACATCTGCAGAATATGGCCTCGGAGTTACAATGACAATGATTGCTCTACACCTGGACTCAAACAGCTGCTCCTATCCTTCAAGGAAGCTTGCTCCTTGGAGAATCCCCACAGAGGAGGGTGTGGTGCAGAGGCCTCTGCATTCCTGAGCAAGAGACCTGACGGTCCTGAACAGCAGGACAGTGGTGGTCAGAAGGGGAGTTGAGCTTTTTATCACTTCCTCAGGAAACACCTGCCTTTTTTAGACTGCCCTCTAATACCTGTCAAGTTCTCAGAAGCCACTGATATGAAATAGTAATTCTGCATCTCCACTCCATGTGAATGTCACCAGGAAGAGCCCAGACCCTTCATAACGCTATGTGCTTACCAGCTTGGTAGCCTGGTGCCACTGAGAGATGAGTCTCCGCAGTTCATGGTCTATGTTTTGTCAGTCACAGACAAAGCCTAATCAGAACTAGCTTAATTTGGCTCACAAATTCAGAGAGTAGAGTCCATGACAGTGGAGCAAAGGAACAGCTGACAGCCCACATTTTGATCCATAGCCACGAGACAGAGAGAGCACTGGGAAGCACTGGAGGCTCTTGAAACCTCAGAGCCCACCCGCAGTGGCACACCCCCTCCAACAAGGCCACACCTCTTAATCCTTCCCTATCCAGTCCATCAACTGGCGACCAAGCATTCTCATCCAGACCACGACACTTGGACACAAGGTTTCAGAGGATCTGCCTTTCCTTCTTTCCAGCCTTATTTTATGCCCCTGTCCTAGCACAGCCCATGCTATGCCCTGGTGTCTCCAGACAGTGTATGATGCCCTCGGTTGCTATGATCAAATTTTAAAGTAAATTAAGAACAGAGACTCCCAGCAGCCATGGACATAGAAAGATGAGTTTGTCTCAGGAATCTTTGCTTTTATTTCAGGAACTTGTGCACGCATATTAGGCCATGGCAAAATGGCAATTTTGGAGAGCAGTGAGCAACAGGTTCTGGAAGGTGCTAGCCAAGTGGCTTCTAAAAGACCCAGAAAGTACCAACAAGTACTTCCAGGTCAACACGTTCATAAAACTTCATGAGCTTTTGCAGCTTTGGGCTACCGATTTAATTTCTCACAATCACGTAAGGAAAACCTAGGATATGGATTTTGTATAAACCATAGCAAGCAGAGCAAAATCCGTACAATACATAGACTGGAAGCAGTCCTGTCTTACCTCTGCGTCCCGGGTACACGTGTGGGTAGTATTCATAATATAGGTCTGGCTGGTCCAGATTTCCAAAGGGTTCAAATTCCACCTCAGCATTCTGGAAAAGGCCCAACTTCACCAGCAATGCCAGTCTCACAAACCAGAGCTGAAATGCAGGATTGGACAAAAGGTCACCCCATGTCAGCTTTGTCTTTGAGACCTTGTGTGGAGCCTGACCTCCACTACAGGAAAGCCAGGACTCAGGGTTAAGATTATTGCTGTCCTCACATTTACACAGTTCAGTGTTTACAGAAACACCGCTGCGCTCCAGAGCAACAACATCAACAATTTCATCTTGCTGAATCTAATTCAATAATACAAGGTGTGTGTCTAGGAAGCATGTCAGCTTCTGAGGAGCAAACAGCTCCTCTTACATAGGGAACCGTGTGGTGGTGGCTAACTGAGTGGTGTGGGTGCTCATGGAAGCACAGCAGTGGAGAAAACAGACCTCTTACTGCAGGGAACCATATGGTGGGAGTGAGTGGAGACATATGGTGGGGGTGAGTGAGGGGTGGGGTACACAGGCAATGTGAGGATGGCCTTTCAGAATGGAAGGGTCGACTCTGAGGAGGCCCTGCAAGCATAGGGAAGGGTGTGGTCACTGGCTTGGAGGGCAGTCTGTGAGGTGAATACCTTAGGCTATTAATGCGGAAGGCACTGTGGAGCCAGAAGGGTGCAGGTTTGAGTGACAGGGCTGACTCAGGTGACAGTGACAGCGTTTGAACTGAAGGCTGTGCCCATTCTCCAAGTGCACAGGCTCTTGGTGGGAAGGCACAAGAGAGCAAGGAGTCCGCCACAGGCTGCTCCACAGATAGCCTTCTGGAAACTCTTCTCAGTGGGACTCCTGGTGACACTGGAATTGATGTTAAAAACTCAGACTTCCGAGGCTATTCCTCATTGGAGGAGTTTACTTCCCTGAACATCTCTCTTTTCACATGTCTCATTTTAGACTAGGTAAGCTCTGCACTTGCTGGAGACTGAGACCCTCAGGTCACTTGGGAGGAATTAAACATGGGCAGGAAGGACCACTGACCTCTCATGGGGATCAAGTTCGGGATGTGGAAACCCTTACCCCATATTTTACATGAAAGGCTACAGTCCCCGGCAAGTTCCCAATGATAAACCATGTAACACACAATAGAAGGTGTTCTGACCTGCAAGGAGTCTGTTGTGTGGTTGGTGGGCAGCCCACTCTTGCCATAGCCTTGTCCGTGGGCTGTGAGCAGGCGTCCACACAGGTCGACCGCCGCCCTCCAGTTCCGGCAGCTCTTCGAGAAGAATAAGAACAGGCAGTGTCAACTACACATACACTTTCTTACTTTGTGGAAGCAATGCCATCCAGATCCTAGTAACCAGGGCAAAGGCAGCTGGCTAGTTGGTGCAGAGGCCAATGCCACTTGACAATATGGTCCATGTGATTTGGCAGTAAAAGGTACAAGAAGCAGGTGTCAGTCAAGACATTCAGATCACAACATTAAAGCTGAATGATACATACAACATGGGGAGGCCACTGGACAGTTCCCCCACAGCCGCTAATCTAGACGGGGCTACTCTAATGGGATGCTGCAGTTCTCATTAGGTGGATGGACTTCTCAGCTGTTCCCTTTTCCTGCTCCTGCAAAGGTGACAGACCACACCAGTCCACCTCTCAGGAAGCTTCACGTACTATATGGAGGATCAGAACACCCTTTGGTCCTTTGCCTCTTTCTGGTGACAAGGACACTATTCAGCCAAGCCACCTAGACACTGGGTAGTGATCACAACAAGGGGAGTCCACGGCTTTCCTCAGAGCAGGTCACAGTCCTTAAGTCTGAGAACAGTCAGTCAGCTGCTAGGATGAACCTGGTGCCGTGTTCCTCTGCACTGTCCAAATCACAGTCCCACAGTTTCTATGTGGGACCCATGGTCTGGATGATAGCTTAGAGAAATCTTTAGATAATTTACACAAACGCTCTCTCTAAACTCAGCAACATGCACATCTTGCAACAAACGCCTTATATACTCATTTTGAATTACAAGTGTGAAAGTGTGAGAGAGGGAAAGATTTGTCAAGCAAGAGCCAGCTCTGATATGTGTTGGAGCAGGCCAAGCCAACACAAGTGCCCTGCTATTCCCTTGCTATGCTGCTGCTTAGGCATGTTGGCCTTGTCTGGAGCAGCACTTGGTATAAACAAAGTTGGGAAGCCTTCCGTCAGGAAAAGACCTGCCTTATAGACAGGTAAGGGAAGCCTAGTGAGCAGGACAGGCAGGGACTCCCAAGGAAAACTTGGACAGTTCTGGAAGTAAAGGGGACAGTGGGGTGTGTGAGGATGAAGGGCACAAAGGCTCATGAGGGTGGGTTACAAAGGTTGGATGTGGCAGGGATGAGCCACCGAAGTGATGGCTCAACCCCCACGCTACTCAGTGACGCCTTTTCGAGAGCTCTAAGTGACTACTGACTGTACCACTCCTGTTTGCTTCCTGTGTCACAGAGCCCTTCAGCAGTCACCATGTTCTTTCCAGCTGCTGAATGGTGGCCCTGTAGGGTTAGGCAAGCAGTAAGCAGAGGTCAGGAATGGGAGTGTATTGAGAAGTGTTTAGATCCGGCAGCACTCTGCACCTGCACAATCTGCAGGTGCAAATCTAAGCAACTGCTGATGGACATTGCTACAAAACCACATGTGGGCTGTTTTCATGTTGGACTTCCCACCTGACACAGTCCAACAGCTGCTTACAACACACTTGTGGGTACTGGTGTTGGAAGGTATACAGTGGGGACAACTGTAGTGGAGGCTGTGTATACACAACATACAGACACTATGCCACAGTATACAAGAGAGCTGAACACCCACAGGGTTTGGTACTCCTGGGGTTCCTGAAAACCATCGCCATTGATACCAAGTGATGACTGTCGTAGATACCGAGTCTCCTGATGCTAAGTTTTATGATGTCACTATATGTTATCTGCTTGACACATTAGAAAGGCAATTAGAATTTGTGTGTGGGCAAAAAATATGTACATGAGAAAAACCTGCTTACATATTTTAAAAACAATTCTTATGTAGTAAAGGCTCCTATCTCATTTTATAACCACTCTGTATGGATACCCACCACAAATAAAACATTTAAATGTGCAATAAAATTATTTGTAAGGAACTTGCAGATATGAAGTGCTCCATAAATGATTAAAAATAGTAGAATGTCTTAAAAAAGCGCATGGAGCCTGCTGGGATTCTATACACTGAGCTATCTTCTATATCTCAAACTACATCTGCTAATAAAAATGAAGCAAAACTCATCATCTTAATTTTCATCTTTTAAGTGAGTGTAAATCTTCTGGAAGTGGCTTCTTCCCTGGATGAGCAGAATGCAGTAGCATTAGGGTGTTACTGGCTCCTCCCAGAGTAACATTCCCACAGATGCCTAAGATTCCTGTGGTAACCGCTGTAACTGGTCTATACATGGCATGCACTTAAACCTCAAGAAGTGCATGTTAACCTGACAGTCAAACTCTAGGAGTCACAAGGACCCACTTCCTCCTTGAGGTAACATGCAATGCCCGGGGCAGCAGCCTGAGAGCCCTGCCACCTTCATTTCTCAGGGGCCATAAGGGCGTTTGGGGACAAGAAGCCTGTGGTAGAGGGCCAAGGGCCAGGATCAGGTTTGGAACATGAAAGGGCTCTTGGTAACTCAAGATCAATAGCTACTTGTGATTTGGATCATCCGGTCTTGGTCAACCAGGCAAGTAGGCAAACGGGAAGGAGGGGTTTCCCTCAGACTGTTATGTAAACAAAGTCACCAGGAATGGCAGAGGAAACCACACAGTGCATGCTAGCTATTGCGTAGCTCTAGCTCACTGCTTCCACGCTACACCTCCCCAGGTCTTTATTTCCCGATGAGAGAATACAGAATTCTCATTGGACTCTAGTTACTCTGTGCTTCAAAGACATTTTCTGGCCTGGGAATAACTTCTTGTCACCTAGGGAGGGAGTCAACCGTGACCACAGCCCTCTCTCCTCACTAATCTTCGGAGCCAGTCAGGACAGAGGAGTCACTGCCCTGCCATGGTCCCTGAAGAGTGGGTGGGGGATGTTACAGGGTGCACACCAAGCAGCAGATCTCTCAGGACCTGTTAGGACAGGGGACAACCTGTAATAGGTGCTGGGAGAGCATGTGGGGAAGGTGCTAAGTCGTTCCACAGTGCCTGGCTTTGCTGGCTTTCCGAGGCATGGCTAAGGTGTCATCCATCAGTTTTCAAGTATGAATATGAACTAGCACCCTCTAGGCAAGCTTGTGTAATTTGCTTTTATTGTTCAATACTGCTCTTCAAATTTAACTTGTATTTATGAATGCGGCTGTGGCTCATTTATTGCAATCGCTCCCAAGTGTTTAATTGGCTGCATATAACTTGATTTTCTTGTGTTACTTGCTCTTACAGGTTTTTTTTTTCTTTAAAGATTCATTCATTCATTCATTCATTCATTCATTCATTCATTCATTCAATATGTACTGCTGTTTTGCCTGCATATATGTCTGTGTGAGGGTGTCAGATCCCCTGGAACTGGAGTTACAGACAGTTGTGAGCTGCCATGTGGGTGCTGGGAATTGAACGCGGGTCCTTTGGAAGAGTAGCCAGTGCTCTTAACTGCTGAGCCAACCCGCTATTGCAGGTTTTAATAACATGTTTTAGCAACAACAAATATGTAACAAATATTCTTTTTTTGTGTCTTTTGTGTGGGTGCACATGTTTCTGTGCATGTATGTGGAGGCCAGAGGAGGAAGCTGAGTGTCTCCCTCTACTGCTCTCTGCTTTACTCCCTTGAGACATCATCTCTCACTTGACTGGAAGCTCACCTTTTTGGTCATGCTGGCTGGCTGGCCAGCCAGCACCTGGGACCCATCTGTGTCTTCCCCGGTGCTACAATTACAGGCATCTACAACCTGGTTTTTATGTGGTGCTGTGCTGGGGATTTGAACCTGAGCCCCATGCTTATACAGCAAGCACTTTTACCCACTGAGCCACCAGTTGCCAGCCCCTGCAACTTTTTTCTTCTTGAGACAACGTCTCACTGTGTAGCCTTGGCTGGCCTGGAACTTGATTTGTAGACCAGGTTGGGCATGGACTCAGAGATCTGGGCCTTCCTCTGCCTCCTGGTACTGGGGTTAAAGGTGTTCACCATCGTACCTGGTTATAAAAGATACCTTTGGAATGTCTTTCCATACCTGCACATAGGAGGTTTTTTTTTTTTTTTTTTTTCCTCACATTTTGTTATGGTTTCTTGCTTTTGTTTTGAGACATGTCTGATGAGCAGCCCAAGCCTGGGCTGGAAGCTTCCTGCTTCCACCCAGAGGGCTGGGTTTCTAGGCATTCTTTTCATTTTGCCTGGCCTCTTGTGAATCCTGTTTTTGTTGTCAATCACTATCCCCTATGCCTCCCCTCTCCTTTTTCTCTGGTGCTGAAGACAAACCTCGGGCCTTGTGCATACCAAGCAAGTACTCTGCCACTAAGCTACACTCCATCCTTTCTCCAGGAGTTGTTGGGTATTCTGGATCTCAGAGACAGGAGCAGTTGTACCCTAGGATGGCCCTGAACTTGCTATGCAGATTGTAGATGTGAGCCACCACATCTGGCTTTCCAACTATTCCAAAGCCTAATGTTAGAGGTGGGTCTGTGGGGTCAAAGGTTACAGAATATCCATGTACTGGCTGGTTTTATGTCAGCTTGACACAAACTATAGTCATTTAGGAAGAAGGAACCTCAATTGTGAAAATGCCCCCACTAGACTGGCCTGTGGGTAAGTGTGCAGGGCATTTTCTTGACTGATGATTAATGTGGGTGGGCCTGGATCACTGTGGGTGGTGCCACCCTGGGCTGGTGGTACTGGGTTCTATAAGAAAGCAGGCTGAGCACACCATGGGAAGCAAGTCAGTAATCAGCATCCCTTCATGGCCTCTGCATCAGTTCCTGCCTCCAGGTTCCTGCCCTGTTTGAGTTCCTGACCTGGCCTCCCTCAACCCAGGATATTTAAGCCAAATATCCTCAAGTTGCTTTTGGTCATGGTGTTTCATCTCAGCAATGGGAACCCTGTGACACTCCACATTACTAACTGCTGTCAAGCTTTTCTATGAGGCAGTTTTAGGGACAGCATGTGCTGCCTACCTCTGCCCAGCTGCCGGGGTTGGGATAGTTCTGCTCTGCTTATGTTTCTGTGATCCCTGCTGGAGTTGAGCTCTTCCCATAGTTACTGGCCACGAGATTTCCAGGAACCTCTTTATGTCTTCTGTCTCTTTCCCCTACAGCCTATTTCTTTTCCTTCTTAGTTTGAGGAAGCAGTTGTCTTTTTCATTGTTCTTCCTCAGTGTTTACGGTTTTTTTTTGTTTTTTTTTTGGGGGGGGTGGTGACAGTGGTGTTGGAATTGAACCTCAAACATAATAGATCATCCCTCCATTTCTAGCTACACAGCCAGTCCAAGGATGCTGCCACCTGTTTGAAATGATAATTATTTCCTTAGTGATTTTTGCTATTCTTAGCGTTTTCTACCTTCTTTTTCCCCTTCTATTTTCTTTTCTTCTTCTTCTTTTTTAAATCCCCTTCTATTTTCAATGTGAGATGTTGGTAAATAATTTTTGTTTTTTTAAAAGTTAGTCTTTGAAGCATGACATGAAAAACTTGAGGCTTCAAGGAATCTTTTGGAAACTTCATCTCTACTGTGTAGGTCTTGCAGCACTCTGATGATGAAGTTAGTTTGGAATGAGGAAAATTTCTAAATTTAAATAAACAGTACTTTTTAAAAAACAAGGAAATAAGATAAGACTCTGAGAACTGAACACAGGCACGCTCTGATCTTCAAAGCTAAGACAGATCATCTGGTGTGACGTATCCGAGTAGCAGACACTTAAGTACATATCTTGTCTGCTTGCCCTCAAAGGGCATCGTCCATTCTGCCCATGACACCACGGCAGTGACTAAAATGTCCTTCTCTCCAGGCAGTGACATTCACTTATCTGTAAATTACAATCTTGGAACACCCTGATGAGACTTAGGAAAATATATTAGGAAGCTCTTTCCTCCTTAAGATGGTAGGAATTCCTTTAGGACACAATTAAACACCATGGTCTTTTTACAAATACACCACTGTCCTGAAGATGCTTCCTGGTTGGGACCTGCAGTAAGATCTCCCATGACCTCAAGCATTTTCAATGTATGGGGGGTGGGTGTTGGTGGGAATACAATCATGTATTAACACTAGGAATAACCATGGATGGTGGGAACACAGAAGGCAGATGGATTACAATCAGTGCAGGGCAGTGTGTGACTTTAGAGATGTACTGGGAAATGAGGTCATGCTGCAAGTGTAGCCTGTCCGTCATCAATAGAGGGAAGGGGAACACCTGCCCCTGACCATGGGAAGGTCTGCTTGCTTTACCAGCTCACGTGGGCCACAGAGGTGTTCGCTGACAATCTCACCGACAATTGAAGAGAAGCAGACACTTAGAGCAGCTGTTTCTGACTGTTTAAAAAACCAGCATCTTGCTTTTTTTCTCTGACAGAATCTTATCTTCTTAACATCTAGCTATGGAACCCAGACTGGTCTCAAATATGTAATCTTCCCACCTCAGATTGTTGGAATTACAGGCACATGTTGACATGCTGAGCTACATAAAGCTTTTAATCACGGGAATAATTAGAGAATCATTTCAGTAAGAGAATCAATGGGACATTAGATTGACATTTACTGAAAATTAAACCCTAATTGTTATGTATATAATACACTGGGGCATGTGAACCACTGACCTTTCTGAGAACACAATGGTAGTGCAGTGAAAGATGCTGAGAGGAATGGCACACTGCTGCTGCTGGCAGATCCAGGCTTCCGCTGATAAATGCCAGCCACAGTGACAGCTGCCTGTTTCTGTTACAGGACAAGGTCTCTGCCAGGGTTCTGTACTCTTCTGGGTTATTGAGTGAAGACCTGTGTTTCTGGTGACCACACGACTGTTCTAGAAAGAGCAGTGTATAGAGAAGGGAGGTGTGGAAGGCTTGGTCTCTCAGACTGTGGAACAGGGGGGGACTTTATCCCAGGGACAAAAGGTCCAAGGGATTTCTGATGCTGACTGGACCTAAGGAACTGCTATTTAAGCTCTGAACAAGCGGCTGTCTGTGGAAGGTGCAAGTGGCGAGACTGAGGAAACAGGCCAACCTTCACTGCCAGCATCAGGAAAGCTGGCTATCCTGTCAGGGCTAAAGATGCTGAGATAGAGGCCCCTCAGGTCAGTGAGTTTGGGGTGTGAAGTTTTAAAAATTATAGTACCAAGTCTCTAAATTTGAGTACACTGAATAAGTGACTGTGAAGGTAGTAGGCCTCCAGAGAGTGAGAGCTAGCAACTTCTGCTATCTTTTTTCAGAGCCAAAAGATTGATGTGAAGCTGAAGAAACATAGCATGGAATTTGTTTCAAGTCCATCAGAAATAGACACACAGATACACAGACAGATAGATGGGGACACGG